AATCGGGAAGGCAACGACTAAAACTGGACTAAGACTAAAATAGATTTTTGTCATTTAGACTAAGACTAAAACTAAATCGGGAAGGCAACGACTAAAACTGGACTAAGACTAAAATAGATTTTTGTCATTTAGACTAAGACTAAAACTAAATCGGGAAGGCAACGACTAAATATGACTAAGACTAAAATTGATTTTTGTCATAGTGACTAAGAGTAAATTTTAAAAAGCTGACGACCATAGCTAAATAGCGGCGCAGCTCAGTACGCGTGGTGGGTACAGAAACAGACAAAATAGCTTCTACTTTAGCCTCGACGGGTTGCACTTGACCTCCCCCCACCCTTTTCCCAAATAGGTCACCGTGGCTTGGATAAATTGGAATTTAGACAGATTAATTGTCAAATTAGCCTCACTCAGACGTGCAAAAACAGTTCTCAAATGCTCAAAGTGCTCAGCCCATGTAGCAGAACAAATCACTAAATCATCCAAATAAGCCTCACAGAATGATAAACCGGACAATACAACATTCATTAGCCGTTGAAACGTTGCTAGGGCGTTACACATCCCAAAAGCCATGACTATACTTAAGGAAATCATCGGGTGTGACAAAAGCGGAAATTTCCTGGGCTCGTGCTGTTAAGGGTACCTGCCAGTATCCCTTCAGCAGATCCAGCTTGGTCACAAACTGAGCAGCCCCCAAATGGTCCACAAAATCCTCCATACGAGACAATGGATAGCAATCCGGCCTAGTCACCCCATTTACCTTCCTGAAATCCATACAGAACCGGTCCTCTCCATTGGCTTTAATAGTCAGGAGGCATGGCGAAGTCCACGCACTACTGCTTGCAACAGCAAGTCCATGTTTCATCAAATACTCCACCTGCGTTTTCAAACGGCGTCGCTTGTCTGGGTTCACTCTGTAAGGATGTTGTTTAATAGGCTTGGAATCACCAACATCAATATCATGACTGAGCACACGAGTCTGATCGGGGATGTCAGCAAACAGCGACCCATATGACTGGATCAAATTAATGACATCAGCCTGCTTAGAAAAATCAAGGTGAGACAACAGGAGATGTTGTCTCCCCTTGCAGCAGAGGGCCAACCCTATACAGGGCTGTCGAAGCCTCTGCTAGTAACGAACTAACGGTTAAAACCCTAATAAAAATAAAAAAAGAACGAAAACAGGACAACCGGTCCCACCAGGTCAAAGTTACAAAAAATCAGCAAAAAACAAAGGCTAATGAACAAAAATACCGCATGGCAGACTGGAGAGGTCAGCGGCGGCCTACAAAGACAGGGGACGTGCGCATCGCGTCAGGACGCACTCTCTGTGACGGTGGATCGCTCAGAAGGCTGGAAGGGAGAGAGAGAGAGAGAGAGGCTAACAGGTGGAAACCCAGCCTACTTATAGGCGGACCAATATCACGCAAATTAGCGTAATCGATTTACAAAAGAAAAAATAATTATCAAGATTCTAAAAAATAAAGTGATTCAACTAAGGTCTATGCAACACTAGAAGGAAAAATAAATAAATAATTAATGTGCCCGAAGCACATAACAGTCACCAAGAGGGAAGAGCAGCGCCTAAGGAATACACGGATATCGTTTACTTTCATGAGGTTGATCTGATCTAAATACCCATTAGTTAAACAGGAGGTCTATTTCACAAAAGCTGAATTTAGAAATATATGATAAGACCTAGTGTGATCACTGCAAACTGACAACTATTAACTATTTGGCATTAAAAGGAAACTATGCAGGGCTCCATGGTGTTACAGGTTCTACAACTGTTGCTTTGCATCAACAAGGAACAAGGCTCCATTTCCAATTTAGGGTCTTTCTGCGTGTAGCTTGCATGTTCCCCCTGTGCATGCATGGGTTCACTCCTGGCGAGCTGAAGACAAGATTTCACAGGGCTCACATACAAATGTGAACGACAAGAACTTCTGACTGACATGAAACCTATGTAAAATGTACTTAATGTAAAATGCTCACAACTGATTGCCCTGGGTAATGAGACCCCACACCCTACATGCGACCCTGTATTTTAGAATGCATAGATAAATGAATGTATTGTCAATGTCTGTAAATAATAATTTTTGTTAAAAATGTAAATGTAATGTAAAAAAAATGTAATTGTGATGTAAACAAAAAAAATTAACAAATAAATAACCCTGCTCATAGCCTGCACCTTGTCGTGGTGAGTGGGCTTTCTACTGAGCCAGGCTGTCTCTGTTTCAGATTGTTTTTACATGAGTCACTGTTAAAGACTTTTTCTTTTACTGCCATTGGCTGTCGGACATGAAATCACAGATGCTTTTGTCATCCTGTCTGCAAATATAATATATTAAAAAATAAACTACTGCTATATATGTATATTAATATGAAATAACCCACAAAATAAATACATTCCTAGATTCAATGACAAGTTTGTTTCATAGTTTGTTTTGTCATCCATTAACTTCAAGATTTATTTCTTAAGTTTTATCTATTTTCAGTGCCTGCCTATCAAGATTGATTTTATTGTACTATTTGTTTATTTAATAAGAAGTATTTATTTACATAAAAATATAAATGTTTACTTCAGGATTTATTAATTTAAAAACACATTCATTTGTGATTTTTGTTTTTCAGATTGGTATGAAAAATAAAATTACTTTACAAAATAATACGATTTTTTGTAGATAAAATCTTGAAATAAATACATAATAGAAAAAAATCTGAATTAGAAATTTTTTTTTTTTAAGTATATATTTTGTATTTTTTTTTTCTTATAGGGGTAGATTATATTGATTTGATGAAATATGTATTAATTTATAACAGTATTTATTTAATTTTGAATGAAACGGTTCTCCAAAAATTCATGACACGCTCAAAAACCAGTTAGCAATTTATCTTTGATTTGTACCTTCCATGGTTATGGAGCTCCATGTCTAATGTTGTGGTCAGAATTTTTATGAAGGTAGATCTGTTTCTTTATTATTCAATCAAAAAAAAAAGGTTGCTTCAATCAAAAAATATATTTTCAATTTAAAAAATTTTCACTTCAAAGAAAAAAAAAACTTCAAACAAAAAAGTATTTGAATGCAAAACTATATTTGACTCAAAAAAATTGCATTTGAACACTGCTTTTCTTTGATTGAAAATGTTTTAATAGAACTGCAGTCTATTTTGTTTAAAGCAACTTTTAATTGAAGTAACATTGTTTTTTGATTGGACCATATAATGGGTACGACATTTGTGTCTTTATTATTCAATCAAAAAAGTTGCTTCAATCAATAAAAAAGTAACTTGAATGAAAAGATAAACATTTTCAATCACAGAAAATAGTTTTTGAATGCAAATACAATATTTGTGACTCAAAAATTGCATTAGAACACTTGTTGAAAATGTTCTTTGGTTGAGGGATCCATTTTGTGTTTGGGCCATACATTTGTGTCTTAATTATTCAATACCCAAAAAGTTGTTTAAAAAAAAAATTCAAAGAAAAAGAACTCCAAATGCTAAAAAAAAAAAAAAAATTTAAAATCACCCCATGAATAACTTTTTTTTTTTTTTAAGTGAAAAAAACATTTGAAATTTAAATTGTTTTATTGGAATGATTTTTTTTTTTTTTGAAGAGCAAAAGGTTTTGAAGTTCAAATGTTTTTGAATCATTTTGACAAACGTTCCGCAGTGGGTGGGTGCTTCTCTATTGGTCAGACAAGTTTGATTGACAAGTGTCTACACCAAAAACATCTGACAATGAAGTTATGGTCGCCACTGGCCAGCAAGCTTTTTGCCAGTGTTATGCTGCGTTCAGAGCAGGAGCAGCTAGTTTACATGCAAAGTCAATGGTTGACATGCGTCAAGGCGCAGCAAAATGTCCAGCAGCACATTTTGAGCAGCGCTTCGGGAGCATTTAAGCATCTGACACACTGCTGCTCGAGATGGAAACATTTAACTTTTGCTGCTTGATGCGCCGCATTAACCAGAGAAGCTGATCTGGGAGCTGGCAGGGAGACGAATATCACTGACGACCAGAGCGCTATGATCACTCCTCTGAAACAGTTTACTGAAAAAAATATATATATAAAAACTGTAAATGGAGCAAAAGACAAAAAAATCCTTAAGGACAAAAAACATTTAAATTCAAACCAATTTGTTTTTGAATACAGCAAGGTGCATATTACTTTTCAGCATTACATGTCGGGAAACTTAAAATAATGTGTTAATTTTGAGCACAGCCCTTTAATACTAAGCCTCTAAATAGTCTTGAGGGAGAATTCATGGTTTTCTTAACTGTAAAACTGTAATGCAACTTCAAATAAAACAAAAACAGCAACACCGTTTGGAGTTTCTCCACTTTTATTAATAGAAAAACGATTAATAGAGGCGCTGGGGTTTTCCCATGGTGCTCTTAATGTAGAGAGCTCGCACGTTCTGCCAGTTCTTCTTCAGCAGAGACACCAAGAAGTTGACAGCCAAGTGGATGTTGTAGACAAGTTCGTCTTCAGTCATCTTCACGTGTCCAACAGCCACAGCCAGACAGAGCACCTACCAACAAACAGCCAGTGTTAAACCACAAATAAAGTAGCTCCCTAACAGACTTCAAATGCTTTACTGAAACAGTACCTTCTTCATCTGGAACTTGATGGTGGATTTGACCTCATCCACCTTTGTGTTCAGGTTCTCATTGTGGGTGAGCAGGGAAGGGAACTTGCCAGCCTTGTTCAGACCAGGACCCAGGATACGAGGAATCTGCTTGATCAGAGACTCAGAGGCCAGGAAGGCGTCATACTTCTTTGCTAGGGGAAAAAGAATAAAACAAGACAACTAAGTACTAAGCCTAAATATCACTACTCATCTTTGTCTTTCATTCGACTGAACTCACCAAGTTTCTTGACCAGCTTCTTGTTTTTGTTCAGCTTTTTGAGAGCCTCAATGTCCATGTGGGGGAGATCTGCAGCCTTGGCTTCATCGCAGTGCTGCTGGTCTCCCAGGACGCACACAGAGAACTTTGGCCTGGGGAGGGTCTTCAGCCTGCATTTTAATGACAGGGGTGAGCCAAAAGATAAACCAATAGACAGGAACACTAATGCAGCAGAGACCGCAAAGTTTTAGCAGTCTGTAAAAAGGACAATTACTTTAAGTTCTGATCATTAAATAGTCCAATAACTACACAAATGTTTTCGAATCATGCATACACCCAAGTGGTTGTGTGGAGAACCTTTAAAAAAATCTGAATTTCCATCTTACCTAAAGCACATAGGAACCCTTATGTGAAATAATTGCTCATCTCACCTCCCTGATTTAAAGTTAAGAATGAAATCTTACCCAAACCACTGCAGTGGTTGGTGTCCAGCTGACCTCTTTGGAAACAGTAAAATGGTCGGCATGAGGACACGAACCTACCGGCTCGGCCGCTCAAAACCTCCCCTCATGTTTTAAGACCCAGGGTAGGGGTCCGCCTGCTTTGCCGACCCCAGCCGAAACTGAGTGGGCTCAGTCAGACTACCCAGATTCTTTTCCATGCTTGTTCCCATCCTGTCTGGCCTCACAATAACTTAAGCTTTGTTTCCCCATTTAAAAAGGATTAATCTAACTCCAGACAGTGTTGGAAGCAAACAGAGAGAAGCTTGGGTGAAACAGTGAAGTGTCGAACCTGACAGTGCCGGAGAAACGCTTGTCTTTCTGGGGATCGTAGTTTTTAAGGCTGATCTGCAGCTCCACACTCTCCGTAAACCTGAAAAACAGAAATAGTTTGAGTAAAATTGCAAAAAAAAAAAAAAAAACACAATTTTAAAGCCCAAGTTTCACTTTTATGTACTCACTTCCTGGGCTTGGCTAAGGAGCCCTGCAGGACCTCCTTCACAGCCTCATACAACGTATCCCTGGAAACCTTGCTGCAAAATAAAGGATAGCAGAAAATCTATTACAGCTCAATTCAAACTGAGCTACAGAGATTCTAGCATGAGCTGGGATGTGATCAGTGTGGCTGCAGGATAATATGAACACTTTAAGACAGTCATGAAATAGCCAAACAATCTGAATATCCAGCATCTCCAGTGCTTAGATTTAGAGAGCATGTATTGGCCCTGAAATGGCTAAAACTAGCAAAATACTGTACTTACAATTCATGAGCAATAAAATCAGATCACATTGTTTCCATATTACTATAACTTAACCTAACAACTAGTTAAATTTTAGTTAACTAGTGTGAATTTAGTCAAATATCAACATTATCAGGTTAAAACTATCATGGTCTGCCAATTGCTGACATCTATAATAGTTTTTAATTTCTAAAATGGCAGTTATGATCACGTGTTAAATATACCTCTCTTCTAATTCTTTATAAATAAGATTTTTTTAAATACTTTATTACAGACATATAGCCAACAATTATTATTAACATGCCCGGTAAGCGATACTAAAGTAGCGCTGCAAAGCTGCTATGCTAAACTACGAAACAGAAATACAAAACAATATAATTTAAGAGGGGAGTTATCTGAAATAAGTAAGGCAACTGTAAAAACCCAAAAGCTTGTGTAAAAATGTGTGTAAGTAGGTGGATGGCTTTGGATGATTGCTGATAAAAAGGCAGGGGACGTCAGTGACTGGTAAGCCGGTCCGCCATGCCTAACTTTTAACGGATTCTAAGAAAAACTACATGATTAAAAATAAAATTTTAACACTATAACAAGTTTTTATAAGCCATTAAATAAAATACGTTATATTATGATACACGAAAAGTCATTATCTTCAACATTTATAGGTTAAATCGTGCTAACCTCATTTTAGCAGCTTGCTCCCTTCGTCGTGCTACGCTGGAAAAGGAAGTGCAGGCGGAAGTTACGCAAATTATAGGCGCGCTACGTCATCCAGAAAGCGCCCCCTTTTTTTCCCCCAGGTTAACTTTATTTACACCGTTCTACAGTAGCACAAAAGACATTAATTCATTATTGATGCATATGAAAACCTACGATCAATTTAAATTGTTTTTCTAAATTATTTCATCTAATCACAATAACAAAAAGCACATAAAGCTCGTTCCATGAAGTGCAGATATAAATATATACCACTATAACAGAGCTGTATTTTGCCTTTTTTTATTTTTTATATAGGCCTATACACAGAATTTTTAATGTTTTATTTTTGCCAAAGAAAAGCACTCAAAAACATCATTTTACTTTTCCCCACAAGCTGGATTGTTAAAACTTCTATAATTTGGTGTTTCAACAGCAAAGTAACCCCAAACAAACTGGTCTTTGAATTAATCGAGAGGGACGACACAAAGGTTCCTGAAAATCCTGATTTAAATAAACCCAACAATTCAATTCGGTTTATTTATATAGCACCAATTCCCAACACATGTCATCTCAAGGAAATTTACAAAAGGTTTGAACAATGCTTCCAAGCCTTTTCTGTGCAAAAAAACAGCTAAATTATGGCATTTTAGCTTGGCTATTTCTGATAGGAGTGAAGAAACATCCAGTCTGTTATGCCTAAAGCTTAATGATAGATAACTACTAATGAAATGTAATTGTTTAATAATTATCTTTAAACCGACCAGTGTGTGCAAAATCTGAAAAACTAAACAAAACTCACTTCTAAACCAACAAACATAACTTTCATCTGAATTCTTGCAAAGTTAAACAGAAACAGTAATTGTTAAAAAGCAGGCACAAATCTGTTTTATACATTAAAATAAATAAAACAAAAATTGTTTTCTGATTTTAGCAGCTTTCATGTTCCTTCTGCATATCCACCAGACCAAAAGATAATGTGACAGAATGACAATTAAAGTAAGGGGCAAATTAAAGCATCATCTTACAAAAGTGCGTAATCCAGGTGGAGTGAATTTCAACTAATCTTTATTGATATCATAACTCAAATCTTCAATCATGTGTCTGGGATTCGTTTCAAAGCAGCTTGAAGAGATTTCTTCAAGAAAGTCTCATTTAAACTCAGGCAGCCTGCCAGAGAGTGTTTCTGTGCAGCAGTCACCTGAAAGAAAACATATTCAATCGATAAACCGCAGGATTATAGAGACCTCTGTGCTGACAGCTATACTAGGAGATAGGATGTATACAAACTTACGTGGCTGCTGTATTTGGTGAGAACGGTTAACATCATTTTAGCAAATTTCACTGACTTGGTGAACTGAGATCCCTGGCTGATGAGCTGTTCAGTCAATTGTGTGAATACCTCTTCACTCAAAACCAGCTGTAGAACAAACACAATGAAAAGGTAACACCTTAACAATAATTATCATACAACTGACATTGCAAATCAGACCAAACTTTTCCTTTTTTTTTTGGTCAAATAGTTTTAGTCAATTAGATTATTGAAATAATCATCAACTAATTCCACCATCGATTTATCGTTAACTGAAATATTGCGACTGTAAAACAGGCCTTTAGCTGACAGAGTGACCCAATTAGAGCAGTAATTATATCAAAATTGTAAAAAATATATTAAGATTTTGCATTGAATATTTTAATTTTTTTTTTCAATTTGCACTATACAGAACTCCTCAAGTTTAAAGCTTTTAGTTTCACCTGGTTTAATATGATAAAAAAAATCTTCTTTAAGGAAAATTTTGCTCCGATTATTAATCAATTCATCGAAAAAATATTCAACAGATTAATCGATTTGCAAAATAATCATTAGTTGCAGCCCTAGATCAGTTCCACTGCTCCTTAAATCTAGAGGTATATAAAATAGTATAATTAAAGTGACTAAGTTCAAACATGTTGGGATCCTTTAACAAGTTTGTCCCTGCAGTTTGCTCTAATCTTCCCACCTTAAACTTTATGCTTTAGTTGGTTACAACCTTCCCCCCAATTCCTCTAATTGTTATCATTATTAGGCAGCAATTATTAGTCCCTCTGTCTATTTGCAGACTTTTATTTGTTTTTTTATGTTGCTTTTGGGATTATGGCCTCTTCATTCCCCGGTAGTAGAGGACTTGTCTCATTGTGATAATTACCCTCATCATCAGCATCTTCAAAAAGTCTTTTGTGATTGTTTTTTTTTTTTATTATTCCAATATTTTGCATCACAACCCATCTCCCTCCTGACTTGTATTATGATGTAGAGCAGGGGTGCTCAAGTCCAGTCCTCAAGAGCTACTATCTTGCAACTTTTTGATGCAACCATTTTTAACACACTTTTATCAAATGAGTGACTCGTCACCACACCTATGCTGAGCTAAATGAAGGGATTGGGGCTTTAGATTCAGCTGTGCTAGAGAAGAGATGCATCTAAAAGTTATAGGATGGTAGCTCTTGAGGACTGGACTTGAGAACCCCTGATGTAGAAGTTTTAACTGGAAACGTAGCAGAGGATGAGTAACATATGCTGAGGTCTACCATTCTCTTCCTTGTTTCTTGGCTGTTTCTTTATATTTTTCCACATCATCTCATAGGGAGTCAGAGTTTTTTGAGGTGTTACTTTGTATTCACACCAGTGCCACCATTCATCTCAAATGAATCTTTCATGGTAGCACAATCTGGTACTTCCTAAGTCATTTAAAGGCACTGTAATGTTAGTTTATGTAAAGTTTTGAATATAAAGTAAAAAAATAAACACTCAATGCTTTGACATTTAGCAAATAGAAATTGGTTTGTAATCCTAACAGGCCATAACTAGGAATGGTTTAGTCTGATTTTCTCACATAGTAGGAAAAATCTTTGTGTATTTTTATACAGTGTAAATATGTAAATATCTGGTTTCTACTTCTTGTCCATAGATTACCTTATGGTCGAGCAAGCTGTGGACAGAGAGAACCGCTTCACTCCAAGGAACCCGGAACGTCATTCTGAAAAATACATATATAGTTTAATGGGACTCTGCATACCAGAAGCTTAATTACTCAGTGTGGTTTAATTGACTGTAGTATTTAAGGGATTTGTCTCACTGAAGTACAAGCAGCCTGTAATGGACATCCAGACAGTTTTCTATCAGCCTGTTCAGCAGTTCTGTCTGAGGAGGGCCTGAAAGCAACACAAAGTTTAAGCAGGATTCACCCCACCGTGTTTAGGCCAAAGACAGTGAAAAGGTACTTGAACATAAGATAACCTCAGTGAATGTGTCAATAACCCAGAGTAATACCTGGGATTCAATTCAAACTGAATAAGATTCTTAAAAAAATGTTTGCCACCAGTTGCAATTTAGATTCTGAGGCAAATGTTGGGGAAAAATGGTGCACTTTAGTAAAACATTACATCAATGCATCTGCTTAAAAAAACACAGATGCTATGAAGCAGATTTGTGCATCAGATCTTGCTGCACATGTAAATATGCTAACTAAACTAAGCAGCACGAGTTTCTCACCTATGTTCCTGTCCTGCAGCACTGGTTCAATCACAGCGAGGCACATCGGCCTGGGATAGCGACTGCACAGCGAAGTTACCGCTGTTACCAAACATCTGGAGGGCGGTTCTGACAGGGATGAGACCTAAGGGTATAAAGATAAAAAATATATATAACTCTTTAAGATCTAAGTGTTGCTGAACTGCTTCCTTTACACATTCATGGACCAACCTTCTCTAGCAGGACACTCCTAATGAGCGATGCTGCAGCACTGTAGCTCAGGTCAGGAGAGAGGCACAAAATCCCGTTGCACAGCTTAGGCAGTGTGTCTTCAGGTAAGATGGGAAAATTCAGCATCTTGCATAACATCTCCACCTAAACAGAACAAATATCCTCTGAAGACTTTTCACCTTTTAAACGATTTAGTTATAAATTTAGCAATATGGTAAAAACAACTCATAGAAGTGTTTTCCAATAAATTATATAGAATCTAGTACACACTTAGATCCCTTTGGAAATGTAATGACACAACTGAGACAGATTAACCCTGGAACTTATAGAAAGCGCTTGAACAAAATGCAGAAATAATTGATCTTTTAGACATACTTGGTTTGGGTTGCATTCATTTAACACTTGAAACACATCTGCAGAGCTCTGGTCCCACTGAAAGAGAAACATTCAGACACTAACAGCTGCATCGCATTTCTCATTCTCTGAAAGATTAACATATAGTTCTTACCTCAGCCTGACTTTCCAGTAACTCTTGCATAAGAAGAACAGATCCCTAAGTAAATAAAAAAAACAACCCACTTTGAACGATTTGGTGTATATGATCATTCTGTTAAAATGTAAAACTGCATTGTAAATCTTAACAAAAAAAGTCTTAGAGTCTGTTTACCCTGATGTGTTCAGGTAGGTCATCATGGATTCTGTTTGCAGGAGTTTCTGATCCCCCTCCTGTGTCCAACCTCACTTTTTCATCTTCTACTTCTACTAGTTCTTCTACATCCTCGTCCATCTTCATCCTTTTACTCTCCTGAACCATTTCCTTGCTGTCTGCTTCCACATGGTCCAAACTGGCCCGTCTTTTCCGTTGAGTTCCAGGCTGAGATAAATCAGGTCTAGCATGTGACTCGGATTCCTCTGTTTGACTAATAAAGCAGTCGGCCCAACCTCCAGTCTCACAAAAACCTCCCAAACGTTCAGATAGAGTCTTTAGTTTCTGGCTGCACTGCTCAGAGTACAGAGGATCTGTGTGGTTCACCTCCAGTTTCCTCTCTAGTTGCCTAACCATAGCCGTCACCCAGGGGGTGGGGGTGGAGTCCTCACCAAGACATTTGAGCAGCAGGAGGACGGCGGGCACAGGGATAGCAGGATGCAGCAAGTAGAGGAAGGTCAGCAGGTTTTGTTTAAACAGTGGTGGTAGCAGGCACACAAGTGGTTTGCTAGAAGAGATAAAATATATTTTTATGAACGTAAAATATACAGGGTCTTCAGCCACAGTGGCTTAGGGCTAATCAGGGACAATAGATTATTGCCTAAGTATGATGTTACATGAGATCATACTATAATCTCTGTGAATGCACCATTCTGAATAGCTATAGGATGCCCTAAAGAAAAGCATCATAGGACACATATAAAAGAGATCTGGACCCATAGCCCCATTGATCTAAATCAGTGGTCTGCAACCTTCACAATCCAAAGAGCCTAAAAGCAGCTCAGTAAATGTTGATTAGAACTGCAGACATCAAATGACCTTTTGATATGTATGCTATAGGAAATGTTTCCAGTTGAAATAACTTTACCTTTTTTATTTTTAGGTTCTAGAATAAAGATATATATTCTTACAATTTAAATATAATACAGACATATTGATTTTCTGTATGTTTATCTATGGAAAATTGCATATAAAGCACATAGATTTCAACCTCAAGATGTAAAAAAATAGATCTTAAATCATTTTTGTTCTGTTACGTGTGAAAATCTGTGCTAGTGCCATCATGTGTTCACTCATAGGATAGTCCATACAGCTGCTTGAACATCACTGGTGCACATAGGGTGATTATTCTACGGATATTATTTTACATCCAATCAGTCCACTGAAATAAATCCTCTAAAGTTATTTAAAGAGCAACACAACTTCAGCTTTAAGAGAGACTGCAGCAATGTTAACACATATATGACTAATATCAGCTGTGATGGGACTGCAGCTGGGAAACACTTTAACAAGTAAACTGTTCATTTTCACAAACTTGAATTAAGCACGTTGCTCTTTATACAATGCACTTAGAAGTATTCATGCCCCTTAGACTTTTTTTCTACTTTAACAAATACAAGGAAGAAGCATCTTTCCCTGAAAATAGAAGCCAGCACACACAGGATGCTGAAAGTCACTCAAAAACACTGAATGGTAGTGCCTTGTACCTTTTAAAGTAAAATTGTTTTACGTTTATTAAATGTAATTTGTTGATTTTCACTCACTTCTATGTTCTAAAATAATTGTTATGCCTATGTGAATATATATATATATATACCTATATATATATATATATATATATATATATATATATACATACACACTTGTTTTGCTGTCATTGTTTTAATAGATTGGGTGTTCCCTACCATAAAATATCCACAAATTTTCCTCTAACACTAAAACAACCGTCTCCAGGAAACACTGTCACTGACAACAGAACAACTCCAGATGTAAACAAAGTTAAGCTATGATCTAAAAGAGATCTCTTGTCATGGTTGGGACTGGGGTGACAGCATCACTGTAGACCTGGAGGAATGGAGAGGAGGAGTCAGCTGAACTTTGAAAACATCTCGACTTGTTCTGACATCCTGAAGTGAAACCATTCACTGACATGCAAAAGAAGCAAAGAGTTTAGATGGCTCTAGTTTGAAATTATTCACATTAACTTTATCAGCAACAGATGGAGATGTCAATCGGTAGTTAGAGCATTGCTATAAAATATTTTTATAAAACTTAATTTGTAAAGTAAAACGGACAAAAGTAAAAATGGCGTGCAACCAATTCCATCCAATAACCGTAAAACGTGTTGCCTTTACGTTTTAAGGCTAGTTTAGTTACTACCGTAACTCATATAGTTTGAGTGACCTTAAAATCCTGTGATTTTAAGGCCACTTTTCGTAATCAATTTCAGCTCGATTTTATTGGTAGCGATTCTGTGTACTTACACTGTTAGTGTCAGAGCTCCATCTTCAGGGGAGGCAACTTCATCTCTGCATAGTGTCTGTATGAAGCTAACCAGTGAGTTCTCCTGGTTAGCCCGTTGCTGCCGATGGAACACACTCAGCGCCGTTTTGGCCCCGGAAAAGCCTGACATTAGTGCTCTGAGCAGCAGCCTGGACTGTCCGTCAAACCGGTCCATTGGCATACAGCTGTTCAAACAAGAACCAGACTGACACGACCTCTGACTGCAGACCCGCTGCTTTCCGTCGCCCATGACAACTGAGAATTCAACCGCGTTTTGTTGAAATCTACTCGATGAACATAGCTCCACAGCGCCACCTGTCGTACTGGAGTTTTTTCCCCCCTAAATATTCGTACATCTTGAAAACATTTCACTCATTTAACAAAAAGGGACAAAGCACATTTTCAGTGAGGCAAAGGTGATTTTTTTTATTTCCAGTGTACATTTTTTTAAAAATGAAATTAAAACCAAATGTAATTTCTTGACAAAAACTAGGTAAAGCCATCATAGTGTCTTAAGGTTGGTATTAGAATTTTGTATCCAGGGGGTAGACCATGGAAGACTTTTTACCTTTTGACTATTAAAATCAGCCATATATTTTCTTTTTTAAAATTCCAGATTGTCAAAAGCTGGGGGAAACAAGTTCAAAGTTGAAAATCTATGAGAGGATATGAGGGACAGACAGGAACAAGGCATTTAAGCAGTGGGAGGTTATCAAAAACCCAGTCAAGAACAGATGTCAACAATATCAGGGACAAAAAAAAAAAATATGCAAGAAAAATTTCCATCTTTCATCGTTACAGCAGGAGCAGAGTGAAGATGTGCATACATTTCTCATAAAATTGCCAGAGACATCTTATTTCCTTTGATTACAGGAAACTAGTGAGATAACCTGCTTTTTGTGACAAAGTCAAATTCAACAACTGGAGTACAATTATTTTCCTGATCTTGAAAGCTTCTCCAAATGTAGTTTCACTATAGAGGCAGTGATCAAGGGTTTTAAAACCACCAAGTGGCTCAAAACCCAAAATCTTCAGTTAGGAAAAAGAGAAGGTCTTCATCCAGTTCCTCCTGCCTCCAAAGGCTCATGTTTATAATAATATTAAGCAGATCAGCAAGGTCGCTGTCGTCGTCGTCGTCACTGTCATCCGAGAAATACTGAGAAGACAAAAAGAAAATTATGTAAACACAACACCACAGAAAGCCCTTTAGGTTCAAATAATATTTTGCCCTTACACTAAAAGAAACATGACTTGAATCCAAGACATGCTCATAAAGGCAATCCTTTTTGAAGGGGCAAAATCCATTTCTTTCAAAGAAGCTGCATCTCCTCTTACTGGAAACGAAGAGTACAGTCATTGGCTTTAATTGGTGTAGAAATTTTCAGACTAGCCTTCTGTGTCAAATATTGAAAAATCAGTTTATCAACTGAACTTTCCATAACATACAGGTACTTTAATGCCCCCCCCAAAATTCTTACCCCAATTTCTTCTTGAAAGCAGTTATTAGATTTTCCTTCTCTTCACCTTCCACCCAGTGTTTGTTGGGCACATAAAAGGCTGACCTGACTCGACACTGAGGGCAGGCCCTGCAAATACACATGGAGGGGGTCAAAACATTTGCCGTCAAAAGTTTCTTTCATTCGTAGTACTCCAGACCCACCTTACAACACCAGGTCCAAGATCTTTTGTCTTCCTCCAAGTTGCGATGCATTTTAAACAGAAGGGATGATTGCAGTTTGGCAAAATACCAAAAACACGGTTTCTCTGTTCCTCCTTTTCATAGACGTTTTCCATGCAGATTCCACAGACCACATTTTTGCTCTTCAACAAAGGCTCTACACTGTTACTGCAAGCTGCTGTTGCACCATTTTCTTGCGTCTCAGATTTGGAGGGTCCCTGAGAGTGCTACAAGGACAAAGTGGTCATTAAAACCCACCCTAGCTAGTTCTGACAGTGTGGAGGATCTAGTTATCAAATACAAACCTCATCTGCTCCATGCCACGCACTTGCTTGAGCGATACCTGAACTATGGGCCGACTCCTCATTTTCTGCCAATAAGGAAACAGTATTAGAAACGAAACACTACTCAGTGCAGTTTCTTGTATAAACTTCCACTACCGTGTGGCTGTTCCTCAACAATATTTTCTGGCAGGTGCCCAGTGTCTTGCTGAGGAGTAAAGGCATAAGCAGCTGATTGTGGTCCACTGCATCTTTGCCTGGATGGGACATCAGCATGACCGAGAGCTGGTTCTGATCCTCTTCTTGCATAAGAAGACAAGTAGGGCACACTGGGGGAGACTGCTGTGGGCATAGAACCCCTTCTACCCGGAACTGCGTGGCCAACATGAGGCAGAGTGATATGCAAATACCTGGAAGTGGGGAGAGAAAAATTAAATTACTCAAACTTAAAAAAAAAAAAAAAAAACACCCACACACAAAACATGCTTTCTGGGAGTTTTACCTGCAGCGTTCACCATACCAGCATCCACCTTTCTGAAAGTACCGACATATTTGCGATGCAGGTATAGGGGTAGTCTCATGTCTGTACTTGCATCTCAACCCAAATCTGCAAAAGCCATTTATGAAATGCCTGTGCAAGAGGTTAAATACAAAAGTAATGTTTTAGGATGTTTGCATTTAAATGGCTTTCACAACCAGTTGTACATATGTTGATAGACAGGATTTCCAAATATGCATATTAAGTCCATGAAACCTCACCAGTTAACTTTTTAATCAGTTCCTTCTTAGAAAAAACAAACACTCTTAAAGGGACTGTAAGAAAATTTTACTTTCACCCATTTCATTGGGGGTTGAATGAACAGAAAAGCATTTAGTGATGATCAGATTGTATAACCTTGGCCACACTCCTTGCAAATGCATGTCCACTTTCTCACACATCAGTAAAGCAACCTGTTGCATCACCAAGTATAATCTGATATTGAACTTAGCCTAATCTTTGTATCAAGGCTCAAATGGATGCCACAGACATTTGGTTCCATTTTATCAAATCCAGCTCCTGAGAAAAGATATTGTTATTCTATCTACGTAGGTGGTTATCTTCCTATTCTACCAGCTTTATCCAATCTAACCTTGAGACTCCTATCAATCTAGACGTTACTTCTATCCTGACAAAAGGATGCTTCTACTAAGATGACTTTTGAGGGAGATTAAACACAATTCATACCTTACGATCAGAATGGGTAGGGGAAAAAAAAAAAAATCTTACAGCAATTTCATGAACATTTATAAACATCCATCAGACCCCCCTAGGTGAGAAATAACTCATGTTAAGCACAAAATCTCAAAATGTTGAATGCACTTTATTCAGGACACTGAAATGACACCATCTGGCTTATCTGCTCCCATACTGATACACCAGAATATTTGCAAAATGTTACTTTAAACAATTTACTGAACAAAGATATTTACTGGAGAACGTTTAGGAAATTCAACTTTGAACTAAAGGAGACTAAGCAAGAGTGTGTAGCCAAAACAGTCCTGGAAATGTTTTGAAAAAACTTAATAGGTTCACAGACAGTGGTCATATTGAATTTTTGACGTCCAAGTCAGGACGTCAAACGGGGAAAAAATAAGCCATTTTTGGAAAATAGTAGTTATAAAGGGAAACGTGTTAGATATTTTGTGCCAATACAATTTTAATAAAATTAAACTCACCGACCTGGTACTGACAGGGTCAAGAAATAGTACGCTATAACAGCTCATTTAAAACTAAACTAAGCCTGACATAAATCAAAGTTTTCTTAACGGTTTGGTCAAACCGTTTCAAACCGTTATACAAGCCGTCATTCTGCTCTTAACATGACAATTATTGCTTAAAAACCAATATTGTTGCATGAAGCTCAAGTGGAAAAAAAAAGTTTAATTAAAGCGTATGGTTAGCTTGTCACAGCGCCAACAGCGTAGACGGCAGTTTCAAAAACTGTATTTTTAGTCTTTGATATTTTTCCATTTGTTTCATTTTCGTCTGCTTACCTACAAACTGCTCTACTGCGATCCATGTCCGTCCTCTTAGCGTGTTTGTGTGCCCTGATTTGAGCAAGCCGCCAACCCAGTTAGTCCTCCTTCTTCCTCTCTAAATAGCTAACAGCTGTTTCTCCCCACTATTTACCATGGCAACGAACCAATCACAAACCGAAGTGGGCGGGTCTACGTGTCGTTAGCGACACCTCATTGGCCATAACATACGTCAATCATGCACCAACGGATGTTACGAGCGCCTGTCATTAAAAACCAGAGAAAAAGCAATGTGATTATTTTTTTGTTTTATATGTGATAAATCACTAAAAACAAAAAGTGAATAAAGCTTATATGTTACAATGAGAAAATATTTTAAGGTTCTGCCACATTCTTCTACAAAGAAATCATTCAACCCATCATAAACAGAGGTAGCTTTCTTTGAAAAAAAAAAAGTTTTTTGGTTGGATTTCTAGCCTTATTAAATTTCTGCACCCATTCATCAATTGATTTTCTTATTAGAAACCAATATAACAAAGAGCAACAACAAACATTTATAGTATTTATTAGATTTTCCTTTTTTGTTTGTGGTCAAATATAATTAGTGGGAGTATATAACAAGTTTAACACCCTTTAGATTTCTAAAATCTGTTAAAATTACATTTGTGATTTTTTTTGGGGGGGAGGCGCTGAATCTTCAACATATCAAGAATGTTTGCTGCACCCACACACACACACAAAAAAAGATGATTACACAAAAAGAAATGAATAACTAAATTACTAAAATAATCCCTACCATCTATGGATGGTAGCATATGGAGAAAGGGGCAGTTTTTTCTTTTCTTTTATGATGTTCTAATATTAAACTGGAAAATAAAACCAAAGCTCACATTTCTGTGCATTAGTTTTTGACCAGAAAATATTGTAAAATGTTTATGCTAATTCACATTTTAAAACAAGGATCAAAGAACTCTGTTTTCTATAACTGGCTTCTAATAAGAAAATCTAATAACCATAAAATACACAGACCCAATCAAAATATTTTGCTTTTGAATAGCACACTGCTTCTAGCCAATGCAAGGTGCATGTATAAAAGGAATTAAGGCAAAAATAAACGTCAAAGGTTCAATAAGACAGTGAAATATCCAGACATTTGGAGGTAGATGGGGATAAAGACAAAAGCACAAGATTTCTGAAAGGGAAATCGTGTAAATTAGTAAAGTAAGATGCCAAAACTACTTAGCTGTAACAAATCAGACACACAAACTGAAGGGTAGTTTTGGATTGTGTATGTCTTGATACAAAAGTTAGTATTGACTTTCAATCATTGAAGAATCTCCAAGCCAAAATATAATGGATCTGTATGCTAGATTTCTATAATTCCTCCTTTACCATGGAATTCAAATGCTTTTGTTTAAGAAAATTGTGTTGGTTCGCTTGATATCATTTTTGGTAAAAACCTAAGCTATAAAGGTAGGTATGGAAATATAATACACAAAATGAATGAAATGGCATTATCAATCATTTTCTCAATAAAAACCATTTGTAACACAATCAGAGAAATGCGCTAACAAAGTCAAACAATGGCAAGGTCAGTTTTCTGCAAGAAAGAAAGCAAGCATGCTATCCCTCAAACTTTTTAAAAGTTACATGCCTATAGTGTCAACTCAGTTTATTTTCACTTGGGGCAATGGCTTTTGAGATAAAAACCTATATAAGCTGGATTTTATATGTTGGCAAGTGGAAATAGCATTGCACAGACAGTTTCACCATGAGAGCTCGACACTGCTGGAGCCAGCCCAGTTTGTGTTCTCCAAACCAAATGGCCAGATGGAAGAGTTAATGTTGATGATGTTGTAAACAAATAACGTGTGCATCTCTAAAATATTATAATGAAAATAATTGCAATCACTCTGTCATGAATTAAAAAAACCCTGATATCCCTCTTCCATTTCAGCTGTACCACTGGTGAAGGACCATGAAGTGCTTTCCCTTTGCAGCAAAACACAGAGCTGAAGAGAGTAAGGAGAAGTTTTCTCTCTCTTTCTCAAAACACTGCTCTGGGGTCAGCTTTGCTGTGAGGATGAAACGGGAGCAGCCTCTGGAAGAAAACATATCACTCTCCATGTTAGGTGGCCGTTGTGGGAAACTAAGGCTTGCAGCAAATGATTCCAGATGCTCATTGCACGGTGAGAGCAATGCTGATACTGTGGGAGTTCTGCTGCTTGTGATCACCCTAACCAAGTGAATCTGACTTATCTGTGGGTCAAAAAAATAAAAATCCATGCCCGTGTATGGAAAACAGTGCCTTCACTGAATGCAGTGTGTTATTTTATAACCGCAAAAATTCAATCTGTAACAGTATTGCTTCAAAGTCAGTCTGTGCTGGAGATTCCTCTAATACATGTCTTTATAGATCTCCTGTAGTAGAGGATGGAGCGAGGTCTCCGACTCAGTCTTTTTGATCTTTTGGACGAGTTGGGCATTCTCAGTAACCAACTGACGGAGATCGGCCATCTTCTGAAGCAGCTTGGGAAAGAGGTAGAGAGAGTCAGAGTGGTTTGCTTGGAGATGGAGGTCAAGGGCCTGGAGGATGCTGTCCTGGCTTTGTTCCACCTGCTTTACGTTCATTAAACCAGGGCGATCTAGGAGAACAAAGGAGAGAAAAAAACATTTTACTAATCAGTTACTCAAAACCATGTTAGTTATACAAATTAAGCAGAGATCACATGAGAGTAAAAACCCAACTTGGAGAAGAGAACGTACACGTTTTTTGTTCATCTTCCTTTGAAAGAGTCTCACTATAAGGTCTTTTAATTTTGTTTTGGGTATTTCTGTCAGTGTGAAAGGGAGTAGTATAATCTGCAGTCTGATATGGAGCAGCTTTGATTTCAGGATTTAGTTTATATAGGGAATGTTAGAGTGGATCTTAAAACCACCAAACATGAATCTTTTTCTGTTAATCATAATTTTCCAGATTGAAATTTCCTGACTTGTTTTCCTTCCTATCAAGATCCAACAACAGTCTGGAAATTTCACGACAAAATAACCTGGAACTTGGCTGACCTATGATCTGTAACAATAAAACAGGAAATGCCTTTAGTAGCTTGAAATGTTCGGAGTGCATAATGAGACATTTAATTGTTTTTGTGGCATCTGCACTAACCTGCACTCTTTAAAAACTACTGGACTCCACTTGAAAGAAATAAAACTTCCTACACTAAATGTGGATGTTTATTACTGCATATTTGCACCATACATATTAATGCCCTAACCTTCCATATCAATGCGTTTTTGCACCATGTTTTTCTTTTTTTTCCCACACTGTTTATGTTTGATCGCTGCTGCAATTTTTGGAATGCAAATATTCATTTATTGTCTGAAAGCTGCACAAAACAAAATTTTATTTTGTATACGCTCTGTGTATGCAAAATTACAATAAAAGTAGTCTAATTCCAAGTCTTTACATCAGAGTTTGTGAACTTGGTACATGGATTACGTTTGGAAAAACAAAACAAAAAAAGGTGTTCTTAAATAAAAACAAAACAGTAATTGAGTTAGAAATGAGTTATTATAAAACCAAACAGGTAATGAAATTCCTCTATTTAATCTCCATTTCATCCTGTCTCAGTTAAAGTATGAAGAACAATGATAAAAAGAAGTTGGGATATGTCAAATAAACCTTCTGTATGTATCATGTATTAAAGGGGTCATAGAATGTAAAACAGAGTTTACATTGTCATAGATGAATAACGACAGTTCAGTGGGTGAAATGGACGTAAAGAGAAGTTCAAACCCCATTGACACGGTTTACCTGATGGGACGCCATTTTAAAAAAAATGCTTTTCTAGGCTTACTGAATATCCATGTGCGTAACTTGCGTAAAAAAAGTGACGTAACTTATGTAGAAAACGTGACGTAATTCGTGCTGCCCAGCGCTAGGCTGTGGTGCTGTCAGGAATCGTTAAGAGAACCGTTAAGCGAGCTGCCAAATGGTGCCCTGGAATTGGAACACAAGGAACCGGTTCTCAACAGGAACAGGTTTTCGATTCCCATCCCTAGCTCCGTCCCCCGCTGGCTTCCTGCCCCAGTTCGCCGGTGTTCCCTGACCAGCCCCGGAGGTCACGGCTTGTGCCTGCTGCACTGTAGTCGACCAAAATCCCGGATGATTTTGAAATTCCCCTCCGGACATTTTTTTTTTTTTTTTAGGTATGAAAAGTCGGGCATGTCTGGGAAAAAGAGGACGTCTGGTCACCCTACCATATCAACAATTTTTTGATGTTTCAGTGAGTGAATGCTTGTTGCTATTGTTGGCTCAGCAGCTTCGCTCGTTGTAAACCAACCAATCAGCGCACAGCTCATCTAAATATTCATGAGCACACCATAAAAGGAACAAAACCTGTCGTTTCATTCTAGGGATTTTAACCAGGCTTTGCATTAGGACACATAGAACAACAAATATGCCATTTTCAGCCCAACCCATGTTACACACCCTATTCAGAGACCTTAAGGACCAGCACCAAATGCCCTATATAATCATTCTATAACCCCTTTTAATAGAAATATGCTTTTTTTTTTCCATTATCAATTTTCATGGAATCCAGACAAATAGAGGAATAATAAAAGTACATGTTTACATTTTCTAGATATCTGAAGTCTGATGCCAGGCTGGCTTAGCACCAGATCACATAAATACTGTTTAGTATGACACAAGTCATGGATCATCATTTGCCCAAAGTAGCATATCTTTGAATACCATAATCATGCAATGCATATATGAGGGTTTAAACAGTTCAGTCTTTGTGTATATGCATTACTGTAGACATCCTATCTGACACCCAGTCTGCTTTCTTTTGTGTTCATTGCATTTATAGAACTAGCTCAAAGGTTAAACTCAGGATGTAGGATTTGTGATACTCTAGTGATTTGCTGTGAATTTGCTGTGTCCAGCAGATTTTAATTCTCTGAACTTATAACTGGCATCATTGCGCATTTCACTTAATTTTCCTTTTATAGCAGACATGTCAAAAAAAAAGGTTTTGGCTCGATCCTGCAGCTGATATTTAACGTTGTGAAAAGGACACAAAAGTTAGAATAACTTCAGGTCTGAGACCAGATTTTTCTCCAGAGCTTGAATGTTTATGTGTGTTTAAGGAGCAAGCTTGGACAAGCCAGCAAATGTCTTGGAGTATAATATGGCTATATACTGTGTGTACCTAGCATGAGGTTATGTGAAAGTAAAGTTTGGTTAACTTGAAAGGGTTTTTCTGTCCAGGTGCATCTAGAAACTATTCACAGCGCCGTGCTTTCTCCACATTTAATTGTTGCAGCATTATTCCGAATGGTATAAAATAATCTAAAATAGAGACAAATATTCTACACACAATGAGAGTCTTTTTAAGATTGAACATTTATCTAAACTAGAAAACTAAAGACAATATTATTTAGAAAGTTTGTTAGGCTGCATCCATCTTTCCCTCTATCCTGACAAGACAGCTCCTACTGCTGAAAACCGACCCCATAACATGATGCAGCCATCACCATGCTTCGCTGCAGGGATGGTATTGGTCGCTGGTTTCGTTCAAACATGAAGCCTGGCAAGCACAAAGATTTGAATCTTTTTACATCAGACCAGATAATTTGGTCTCCGACTGTCCAACAGTCCTTCAAGTTTCTTTTAGTTAAATACAGATGGGTGTTTTCTTTTTAAGGGGTGTCTTTTTTACTATGCAAGCCAAATTGGTAAATTGCTGCAGAGATGGTTGTCCTTCTGGAAGTTTCTCCTCATCCCACAGATGAACACTGGAGCTCTGACAAAGTGACCATGGCTGTAGGAAGAATCTTGCTGGTTCCAATGTTTTTCCATTTACCAATAATGGACGTCTGGCCATTGGGAGCGTCACAGGAGCAGAAATGGTGGGAACTTTTTACACAGGTGTGAGCCTTTCCAATCAACTGAATTTACCACAAAAACAATCCAATAAGAATGTAGGAAACATCTCAAGGTTGATCAGTGGAAACTGTCTTTACCTTTAGCTCAATTTAAAGCTTAATAGCAAAGACTGCAACTTAAAGGCTAGATGTGTATTTAGGCTAGGGTAATTGTGCACTTAATTTTGAGGAAAAGATAAATGCAATAAAGCTATAACATCACTAAATGCAGAAAAAGTGCAGAGCTGTGAATACTCAGTGTTTTGCAGTTATGCATGCACAATAAAACTTTGCAGTGAACGCACAAACTCTCACCATCCAAGCAACAGATTGTGTTGCTACAAGGATAGACTAGAATATTAGGAGAATCTGTCCAAATCAGACACAGCAGCAATCCATCTGATAGGAAACATGGACACGGTTTGAGTCATTCAGTGTTGATGTCACAGTGAAGAACCACGTTCTTTGTTGACTTTTGAAAAAAAAAAAAAGGCTGCCTTACTCAACAACAACATAGCCGTGAACCCATTTGACAGCTTGCCACTGAAGAGAAATAGAGGAGGGAACACAGAAAAGTAGGGCAAAGTCAAAGGTTTAGGACGGTCTAAAACTTGTTAAAATGCCAACGCCCGGATCAGGAAGCTCTGCACTGTGTTAAAACCAGTTTTTATTCAGTAACAATATTAGGTCTCACTAAAACACCTAAAAGAGTCATTAATATGTTTGGGTAAAGGGTAGGTTAAGAAAAATGTTCACATTTAAAGCGAGAATCTTTTTTTCTTTTCAATCCAAACAAATATGTTATTTAAAAGACTTAAATCTGGCCAACAAAAAAAACACATTTTATATAGTGCTTTTCATTTTTAAAGTCTTAAACCTTTCCACATTTAGCCATAAACAACTGCAGATGTTCTTATCTTTTAAAGACGTTTTATGTGATAGACTCTCACACAGTAGTGCGTAAATGTGGAAGGGTAATAAAAAGATACAAGGTTTTCAAATTCATTCAGGATTAAAAATCTGAATATACAAACAACTGCCTTCAGAAGGCCCCTGAATCTAGTAAACAGAGCCCACCTGTGTGTAATCTAATCTCAGTAAAATGCAGCTGTTCTGTGAAGGCCTCTGCAGTTTGTTAGAGGACGTTAGCGAACAAACAGCATCATGAACATGAAGGAACACAGCAGAGAAACACATTGAATGGTTGCAATGGGTCAAGTGATGAGGTACTTTAAGGGGGATGAATACTTTTTCGATAAGATAACCGACTGATGTGGTTCAGTCTTTCACAGATACCAACAGTAACATACAGCGGATGTTTATACAATACTCACCTCCACAGAGAATAATGGCAGCAACAAACAGGGCCAGGTCACTGTCATCCAACTCCAGAGCATTGAACTTGACAGCAAACTCAAACTTTGGCTCCATGATCTCACTGAAGGGCTTCCTTAAGCTCCGTAGAAACTCTCTTGTCACAAAGCCTTTCCCATTTGCCACCAAAAGTCCATCTTTGTTCATGAGTGATGGCAGCATGGCAAAAATGGCCTCATGAACGCCGTATTTGAGCAACGTCACCTGTGGAGAGAAAGAGAGAGACACAAACGTGTCTGCTTGTGCTTTCTGTGCATCCAAAAACAAGCCTGCCTGTTGTGAAGAGGCTGATTCTCACCTGGTCATTCAGGAAAAGGTCCACAAACCCTGGAATGCACTTGGCAAACTCTGTAAGCTCTCGCACGGTTTCCACTGTGGTGCACTGACAGCGATAGAACACATGGACTCCGATCTCCTTGGTCAGAGGTGCACCAGGAACTAGCTGGCTCCAAACTAACCCGCTCTCTGCCTTCCAGAGCGTTTCCACGTCGTAGATCACAAAAGGCTGTCACAGAGACAAACAGCTTAAAAACTTTCTCTAGTAAAATCAATACAGGGCTAAACCATGGCTGCTTCAACATTTAAGGATGGCAAATGTTTGAAACGATACAGTAGATACAGGAACCATGCTCCAACTCTGAAATTCTACTCTTTTGGGGCTAAGCAATCTCGTTTTTAATATATGAGAAGCTTGTTTTAGGGAAAAACATATGCGATATACCATATATATATATATATATATATATATATATATATATATATATATATATATATATATATATATATATATATAGTAAACTATTTTCCATACCTCCCAACTTCAATTTCAGATTTGAAATTGAAAAAAGAAAAAGGAAATTCCATAGTTTAAAGTCTAAAGTATTCACATCTAAAGTTTTAGAGTTTTGAAAAAAAAGCCTTTGTTGTTCAACCAAAGAGTAAATAATCTGCCTTTTGCGAGTGTAGATTCTCAGTCATCCTGGTTATGGCGACTGTAAAACAGGGCTAAATTGGAGGCAATTGCACTTTCGCTTTATTTTTCTCTTTTAAAAATAAAAAATAAAAAAAGACTTCTGGATGATGTAACAAGAATGAAACTTCTTTTTTAACTGAACTAAGGTCAGGCTGCCTCTGATTCAAGCTCGTTTCGTGGTTTTAAATCAGCATTAGAAGTGGCTATAGAACGTCACAGTGATCTGATTCACTGTCCTTGGAATAAGTAGAGGAAAAGGTCCGAGCAAAATGTAGCAGCAACTGAACAGAATGTGTTTTCTATGCAAGAATAAAACCTACTGAGGTGCTGCTGGTTTTGCCGGTCAAGATGCTGCGGGCTCTTTTCTTGGTCATGCTGAGGTTCTTCAGGTAGGCTGTGTTAACCTGTTTCGCCAACGTCTTCAAGTCTGAGCCACCAGGTTTGCTAAGGTTTAGCTCCTCTGCAAGCAGGCCCGCCACCAGCTTCTTCCTCTCTGCCTCAGGCATGCGTCCGTATCGGATCGCTAAGAAAACAAATGAAAACAAGTCGTTTAAATGGACGGCCCTGCTACCAATCAGTCAGAATATTTGTTTTTCTTAAAATAATAAAATAGAAATCCACCACGAGTTTTTAAGAAATGCATGAGAAAAAGGAGGATTTCAAGGTGGAAAGCTCGACAGTAAAGTTATTTGAAATGGAAACACATTTGAAATAAATGCTTTAAATCTTAGATGCATGAATATAGTTCTTATCATTCATGCTCGAATGCAAACACCCTTTCCCTCTCACCATCATGGGACATTCCCAAAGACAGGCACTTCTGGAAGCGACAATATTGGCACTTGTTGCGATTCTTTTTCTGAATCTTGCAGGAGCGCTCACAGCGCTCGTATTCCAGTTTCATTCGCACGGTCCTCCGGAAAAAGCCCTGAATGAGAAGCAATAAGACTCATTCGAGTTAATGTTTTCTTACAAAAACAATAACAAATCCAAGCCATTGTTATCGGTATTTATAACCTCACAATGTTTTCTGCTGAGATGGTTAAACTGTTACCTTACAGCCTTCACAGGCATGTACTCCATAATGGAAGCCAGACGCCTTGTCCCCACAGACCTTACACTCCACGCTGATCCCAGACCCTGCGTTGTCTTCTTTACCCAGTCGGAGCTGCTCTGATAGTGATGGCGAAGACATATGGGAAAGATCTGCAATTTCAACCAAACCAAAAAAAAACAAAACATTATTTCAAAGGAATTTAGTTTCTGTCTCCATTTGTTTAGGATTTCTCTTAGTTTTTTACCCGTATAGCTTGATGATGCACTGTTGTTCTGCAAGCTGTGACAGCTATCCTGATTTTCATCCTCTTTCTGATTATTCTTCTGCTCCCCCAATGGGCCTCTGGCAGAAAGCACTTCCCCTTTTTGTTCCTCGTCCTCCTCATCTTCACTCTCCCTGGTCTTAACCTCCCGGATGTCCGTACTCTCCGACGCGCTGGCGGCCCCGCAGCTGTCTGAGCCAGCCGACTCTACCTCAGGAGGGGTCCACCTGACGTCAGCCTCGTCCAGCGGAGACCTAGCTTCACAGTAGCCATTCACCCTGCTGTGCTGCTCCGTCGCAGTTTGCTGAAACCCTTCCATGGTTCCTGATGAAGCTGACTCGGCCGCTCATCTCATGTCACGTAGCTACCATGGCTTGACCCCTAAAAACAAAGTTACTAGTTATATTTCAGTATAAAAATAACCATATGTATGTAGCATGTGGACTATATACAGAGCGAGAATGAACAGCTGCCAACAGTTAAGTGGCTCCACATGCCTGCGTATCGTCTGGCTGTTCATCTAATATCCAGCATGTGATGGGTTAACAGTCTGATTACAACTTGCCAAAACATTCAGCACATTAAGGACCCAAAACAGTCTCCTTAATGTCAGTTTCATATATAAGCATGCAGGTAAAAACACTGTTAGCAAATCAAGAAAGTCGAGGTTCAATAGCTGCCTTCCATGGATCTAACACGTCTCATCTCGGTTATAACAATACGTCATAGATCCTCTGTGATGTTTAGTTCAGATGAGTTTTCAGGCCAACAGAGCACACTAGGGGTGTGGGAAAAAAATGAAATGGTGATATATGATGGTTTTCAGCTGTCCAATATAATATCGAACCTTCAGTTCCTAGTATCGGTTTTTAAAAAAAGACAAAATTTTATCTAAAACAATTGAGGGAAAATTGGCTACCTCTGCACCGCCACTCTGGCAGATAGCGAGGTGGAGCCCTTTTGCTGTGCGGCGCAGCGCCATTTCTGTAGTTGAGGCAGTCACAGTGGAAGACGTGCCCCTAACATCACGGATACCGAAATATATCTCTTAATATATATCTTCTGTTGAACATCTACAGCACTTGCTTTTTTTATTTATACCTTTAATTTAATAGTTGGGGAAAATATTGCAAATATAGTGATACTGCAATATTGCGATAATATCACATTGTAACCCAAGTATCGTGACACCAATCACAACGCAACACACGCCAATACTCACCCCTAGAGCACACAGATGATATGGTAATTAAAGCAGGCACTGGTAAGTCTATATATTTTTTTTTTTTTTTTATACAGCTCATCAACAGAGCGAGGCATTAGGTGCTCTAAATATCTAAAGCAGAATGCTGATATTACTTTAGATCTTAAAAAACAACCAAAAATGACCACTTCCAGCAAACAGCACTGCTCCAAAAACCCCAAGCATCTTGAAGTCACCTGGATGCAAACTTTACTTTCTATCAAAAAAAAGGAAAATTTACCCACTAAACTCTTGTTGGTCTTCTTAGCCCAAATAGGACACTGCTGACATGGTGTCTGATTCAAAAGAGGCGTAATAAAAGAAACAGGACAAGCTGTAGCTCATATTCTGGATACATCTGTATGCAGCAGCTCTGTCTGTAGCTGCAGTTTAAGGCTACGTTCACACTGCAGGCCTTGATGCTCAATTCCGATTTTTTTGTGAAATCCGATTCTTTTGTGTTGCCGTTTACATTTCCAAATATATGCGACTTGTATGTGATCTCCTGTGTCAACTGCATTCATACAGCTTAAGTGTCCCGCAAGCGCAGTAGAGGATGCAATGACGTCACAAGCCAGAGTGCTTCCTCTTTACAGAAGTAAACATGGATGTAGTGCTGCAGCTCATCTAGCGATCTTTCCAAACCTTTAAACCTCAATCTTCTCAAGATGGTTAAAAAAAAAAATACTGCTCTCCGCATCATCGTCCGTAATGGTGTTTATTTTTCTTGCGCTTCTGTGTAGCAAGAAGCAGAATAGTGTCGGTTACTAATGGAGTTCAGGTCGGATGAATGCGACCTGAGCGTTTATACACAGGTTGCATTTAAAAAGATCAGATTCGTATTGGATTCAGGACCACATAGCCAAGCAGCATGGGTCGGATTGGAAAAAAAAAATCAGATCTGTGTTGTTCAGACTGCCATGAAAAGATCAGATCCAGGTCGCATATGGGCAAAAAAATTGGATTTAGGTCACTTCAGCTTGTAGTGTGATTGTAGCCTAAGTGAATCTTTTTAAACTCTGAAATAGGGTTTGATTCCAGTCCCCTTCAAAGACTGCAGTTATTCCCTTGGCCTGCTGACCTTTTGCTCCCCATTTTTTCCTTCCACTTAACTTTTCCATAATCTGTTTAAATACATAACTCTGACCAGCCAGTCTCACTTTATCCTTTCTTACCCGCATGTTGGAGATCAGACCGTCTTTGACATGTATGAATCCTAAAAGACCAGTCATTTTCTGGAGCCATTTTTCTGCATCCTGTTATATTGGCCTCTGTCTCTCTCTGCTGCTGCATGGCGACATCAGTGTTATTGTTTGCCTCAGCTGCTTGGCAGGGTGCACAGTGTGTCTTTGAGCAGCTTTAAGGGGAAAGGGTGCATGCACTGTGTACACACTGCTCAGCACTTATGGCTGGAGAAGGCGGTGGAGCAGTGGGCTTTAAGGAAAGGGGGTCATATTTTTCCCCCCCGGGCCCCCTAGCGGATTAATCCATCCGTGCATGTACCTTTAGAGCCGTGATTGAAAAAAACAAGAATTTATTTGGAAGTGAATCGATATCGCGGATATACTTGTTGTCAGCGACAAACAAGCTGACTTGTTTTTATTCTTGTTTCTAGGAATAAAACGCCGGGAGTGAGGAGGCTTCCTCTCGCAGACAACCTGTCACACTGGTTCTCGGAAGTAATTGCTAAGTTACTAACCATTGAGTCACTACCGAGACTGTAATTTGATCCAAGCTACTGGAAAATTAAAAGAAAGATTAAATGACAAAAATGTCTACCCGCTAAATGTTCTTCTTTTTTTTTTTATCCACAGCGAAAACTAATCTCCGAAACTAGTCTGCCTATGTTAGCTTCTCGGCTACATAGCTCCTAACCTTGATATTGACTGAGTAGCATTAGCTAGCCGTTAGCACTCACCCGTTCCGCTGCGCTAAACAGTATTATCTGGCTACCGTGTTAGCTTACCTCTGCCACTGTAGCACCGCTGGTTCAGTGGAGGCTCCCGCTCCGTGAGCCAGCTGGAGCTAACGAGCAGGAAAAGCAGGGCTGTCCTCGGATCGATCGGCTGTTGACAAGTTGTTTGAAGTCACCAGGGGGCTATTAAACAGGAGCTAATGTCAGACAGCTAACTAACAGAAAGTTTGATAGAGTCGGCCCTTCGTTATGCAGCTTGGAGAATAAAACGTAAACGTAAAAAAAGTGTTTACTGCTATAAAATATGCAAATAGGAGAATTAAAGAGGTAATCCCTCCCCCTCTCCACTTCTCTCTATGCCGTTCATAGCTTTGCTTTGCTCGGATTCACTCCTCCTCCTGTCACATGTCACAGAGCCCCCAACCCCACCGGCTCAGGAAAAAACACCTCAGGGAGCTGATGGGACCAGCCTCTGATGTCTTCTAATAAATAGACATCAAATAAAAAAAAAAAAAGAGTCACCAAATCAAATAACAAAATAAATAAATTAATTAATTAAAATCAATAAAATCAAATAAGAAAAAAAGAATAGTCATTAAATCAAATAAGAAAAAAAGTATAGTCATTACATCAAATAAGAAAAATAGAATAGTAATTAAATCAAATAAGAAAAAAAAGAATAGCCATCAAATCAAATAAGAAAAAAATCATTAAATCAAATAAGAAAAAAGTAATTAAATCAAATAGGAAAAAAATCATTAAATCAAATGAGAAAAAAAACAAAAATAGTCATCAAAAAAATAAGAAAAGATAAAAAAAAAAAAACCAGAAGAAACATAACGCAGGATTAATTTTCCATAAAAAATATACAGTAAATATGAGACATAAAATGACCCATCTTTTCGACTGATTTTTAATATCTGATTCAGTCTTGCAGAGCTTGGATTCCATGGATGTCTACTCATCTGCTATCGTGTATGATATAAAATAAGATGATGTTGCAGAATGGAGATGTATAAAATACCTTTTTAACGGTTAATCTCACTTCCTGAGAGGTGAGCCAGGAGGTGAGCAGCTGCATTCTGTACATTCTAAAAAACTTCTCTGATCTGATTAAGATTACAATTTCTATCAGAATCTGTTGTCAGGTCTGCTGGTTATTTAATACATTTACGTTATGAAGAGCATTTAGGAGCATTGAGGTGCATACGCAGAGCCTATCTTTAACAATCAGCTAGGACCTCAGAAAGGTGAATGCTCCTATTTGATAATAATGTTGCATATTTAGCCTATAACAAAACCAAAGGATCTAGACTAACTGAAAATGTCACCTCAGTTAGTAGGATAAGAATTAGTACCATTAGTTACTGTCTCAAAAAATCAACGAACATTTGTTTTTTGTAGTTGTTTTTTTTTTTTAATACAAGATTGTTAAGCAAAAGAGGAAATGCATGTGTTTTTGTTGTTTGTTTTACAGATAAAGATCTTAAAAGTTTGATTTGCATTTGTATTCAGACTCAAAATGAGATCAATTACAACCACTGGCTTCAGAAATCACCTAGCTGATAAATTATGCTCATCTTTGAGTAATTTAGTCTCAGTATAGGTTCAGGTGTTCTACGAAGGCCACATTTTAAAGATCAAGAATCAGCAAAAAGATATAGAGAAGCATAGCTAACTCCTCTCACAAAGATTATTCAGCTCATCATACAGAAGAGAAAGAATATAGTACAGTTGTAAAATCTCCAATAATTTGAACATCTGACACGCAGGAGGCAAGGAGGAGAACAGCCAAAAGGAAAACAACTCTGGGGGAGCTGCAGAGATCCACACCCTATGGGATTGTCTATTTACACCCTTGATATAAGCTGACCAACACCGATCTATAATGCATAGAATGGTCAACATTTCTAATTTATAGAATAGCAAAGCTGTTAGAGACAAACAGTTTGTAGGCAACATTTGAAAATCTTGTATTATTCTCCTACCTCTTCAAGAAATGCACACTATTTGTGTTGGTCCTATACATGAAATACCCCAAAATAGACTAAAACTGGTGACTGCAACATGACAAAAAGTGACACAAAATTGAGTTATAACTGCAAAATGTTTATATATATGTGTGTGTTTAACAGATGTCTTTAAATCATTATTACAAAAACAATTTTTTTTTTATTCGGTTTAAAAAAATAGTCTGTAGCTAATGTAAATGTGATATAAAATGAATACCATATCAGGCCACAAAGAGAAAACAACAGTAGTCAGGTTCTTTACCTTTGCAGGGTTTATAACTAGTTTTTTAAAGATCACTTTCCAATATTTATTTTTTTCTCCTTAAATTAAATGATCCATTTTTAATTCACACAAATCATGAGATCTCAGTCACCCTCCTTTGGGTTGAAGTCAGCATGTGCATCTAAAAATGTATGTAAACCAGTGGAAGTAATAAAAATGACTCAAACATTTTGAAATAGATTTAACAAAATGCAATATTTCTTTTTTACCTGTTGACAGTGTAATTAAACGGCAATTAATTTAAAATCTAATGCAATGGTTTGTCACCAGTGAAGGAAAATAAGCCCAGGCCATGTTGGGTTCACGCCACAATTTTTCGTGATGATATATAAAATACATTCCAAAGGGCTTTGGGCAAAAGTTAATAGTTTGTTGCAGAGTCAGACCTGTTGCAATTATGCATATTGCAAGAATAACAACAAAAAGTTCAAACTATAAACAAGCACAGTTTGTTTTATTATCTGAAAAACAGCTCAAAAACCACCCCTGGCTGGATTATAATTATTCATACATGCAGCTCTGTTTATTTTTACTTTAAAGAAAAGATACTGCAGGAATAAAGTCAATACCATATGGAAATATTAATATGCATGTCTGATTTGACAGATTTAGACCTGCTGTAATAAACATTAAAGCCGTTTAAAAAGACACTTTTTTCTGTTATAGCTCTCTTTTGTTAAGCAAAAAAAGTTTCTATCATCACTAAGAAAATAAGTTCTGCTACGGATGAACAGATAGTTATAATATATCCAATTGATGCTGCTTGATCCAATGAATTACAACTAAACCCTACAAATTAGACAGATTTGCACTAAAAGTTTGTTTAAAGATAATTATTGATACAAAAAGTACAGCTAGATTCTGTAGTAAGGGCTTTTAGTCAGTTGATGTCCCTGTTCACTCAGGCTCTAAAGGCCAAAGGTGTCAAATGAGTCATTGGTGACACATTTTATTCTGACAAATGAGGTAAGCTGGATTTCAAAGTAAAGCAGACATGCAGCTCACGACCAGCCCACTTTAGAGTGGGTGTAAACTTCCTAATCTGAATCCTCTTTAGTTTTACAAGAAAAAAATTTCATTTCACGTCATCTTTTATACATGCATCACCTACAATACTTTATTTATAGGAAGACTAGTAATTTCAATGCTGCACAAACTAGCTCATGACAGAATGTTTTCTTATGTGGTCATGACATCAATTCACATTCTTCTTTATTTACACTCATGTTAGGTGACATTAGGAACAGGAAGTTGTGTCCCCTCCTCTCTCTCTTTCGCGCTCTGCTTCCTGTTTGTCAGGAGCAAAATTATTCTGTTAACTAATACTGAAACAGTTCTGTACATCAAAAACTCATATAAAAAAAAGAAAGAAATTCAGAAAATTACATATGTAAAAAGGACACATGGGAAGCTTTCTTAATTTACCAAACTATGAGCTTCATTTGTTTTCTGTCTGCTGTTAGCACTTCAAATATTTTTACTTTGCGGTTCTTTTACATGCACCGAGGTATCTTCTCCGTTCACGTCAGACCTCATGCAAGGGCCAGGAAATGTATTAGTTGAGCATTGTCCTTTGAAATATCTCAAACATGTTACTGTTTTGCACTGAGGTCAGTAAATTCTTTGTGTAACAAAAACGGTAGTAAAGTAAATTCAGTTTTTAGTGCAGAAGTCCCACTGCCTTTCACACTTATCATACTGAGCTTCCTGTTAGAAAGAAAAAAACACGTCAGAGTACACGGAGCAGCCTCTTATGCTCTAATGATTCATGCTTTTAGGGGATGTCCATGTCTCCGTTGGAGGCGTGCGAGTGCCGTTTCTCCATGTCGCACTCAGTTCTGTTGTTCACATTCTCTTTGCTCTCCTCGCTCTGATCCTCGGATCCGGATCTCATTCTGAGATGCAGTCCTGGGTCCCTCTGTGTCGGGATCTGGAAGGCCTGGAAAGAGCTCCCCAGAGAGGGCCTTTTCTCTATGGAACAAAAATGGTTCAACTGAATTATAGCCAATTTAAGACATATAAAAACTGTGGTAATGAGAAAATGTGTTAGCGAGTAAAAACACAGCATAGAGGAAGTATAATTTTAAAGAGGAATTGAACCACATTTACTTTATATTGTACTGCTAGGATAAGTCTCTTGAACATCTTTTTAGGTAATCCAGTCTTTTATAGGTTCTTTCTAAGATTTACTGAGGACTTTATGCTGTTTCAAGCTGTACCATGACAGTGTACTTTGCTTAAATCAGCAGAGAAAATGAGGCAAAATAAGATGTCTCACTTCAAACTATAAAACCTGTTTGCAGCAGAGGAAAGTCATGCCAATATGAGACAGGGCAAAAAATTATAACGGCCTGAAAAATTGAATTTTTGCCAAGCTTTAGAGCAGATGTATTTTAAAGACAAACTTTTTTTGGAGCAGAAATGTCATTTTTCGCTACTTTTACAAAAGGTTTGGCTAAATGGGAACCAATTGTGTCTTCGTGAGAGCCTGCTGCTAAAAAAGCCTTGATTACTCAATTTGAAACCGATCCTTAGAAAAGTTGTCTTTGTGAGTATTTTCTTTAAGGAAGAAAAACAAAAAATATTTAGAGTTGAAGGAAGAAATGCCTCCTTCAGTTTAATATTTCTTTAGTTCTGACAATGTTCGTTCCATATAAGGACACTGTCTGCAGCAATTCTGAAATGGAAAGCATCAGTAAGCATTTCATTATGGATCATTATAGATACAAGATCAAACAATGCTAAAATATCATGTGTAATCTAATTTCAATCTTTATTGTGATTAGAAAACTTTGCATGATTGTGGTTCTGATCACTATTTTTGGCAACTGCTGCCCAAATTAGAAGAGGTATAAACCCTGATCACAACAAAATAACCAAAAAAACAAAATTTCTTTTAATAAAACACTTGTATTCTGGAAGACTTCAGTGAATAGTTGTTAAAGTGGGTTTATAATGTCCTCCTGGGGCAGGAACAAAGCTGATATGTTACAACCAAAACTATTAAGATAAACAATAAACACCACAGGGGGAAATTAATGGGCACTCCTTTAAAACAAGTTATATCTAACTGAGAGCATTCAAAGCCTCCTGCGGTGTCACATCTGGTTAACCTCACTGAATAATAAAATTTGGCTTCTCTATACCAAGATCCATGCTTACCGCCTGGTCCGATGGGTCGCATCAGTCTGTTCATCTGGACGTTCCAGTGTTTGACGTTTGTGCTCGCCTGGCGAAGTTTCCTCTGAGCAGCCTGTCAAAGATAAGGAGAAAAGCTCTAAAACAGCTTTTTAACAAAAAAAGCACATCACAAATATTCAATAACAGATATATTCTCAGTGAGCTTCATGAGACAAGAAGGTGTTTAATACCCAGTTACACAGAGCTATCAAATCCAATTCATATCCGCGTTTATGTACAGATGCTACATTTAATTTAAAACAAAAGTGTCTGCATTGTATTATAAACATTGCTTTATTCTGTTGATGTTTCAAAAGAGACCCTGTAACCCACATCCTGGGCAACCATGTAGCTATGGTGAAGAACAACTACTTCCTTTTAGCAGGAAGACACCAGCATGAGCATCCATCAACCACAATCGGCTGCACGCTCATCTGACTGATACTATGATAAATTCATAAGACTCAGACAATCTTTCCTTTCTGCTGTTGCCACATGCATGCTGAGCATGACGGCTATCTGATAAGTTAACAGCTCGATGTCATCAACCGTCCACTATCACCACCTGCTGCCATAGTAAGGCAGACTATTATAGTATATAGTATAGTAATATATAGTAAGACAGGTCTTTGCTCAGGGACCCAGAGTGGCAGTCTGTAGGAGTAGGGCTGAAACTCAGAACCTCTGGATTCCAAACGCAATGCCCTAACCACTAGGCCACCACACGCCCTAAACCGGATGAGTTTATTTTATAAAGGGCTTTATGATAACACCTGTTGTGAACTATATTACTGTATGTATAGACTAAACTGAATAAACTATAATAAACTAAACTGAATTAAATACCATGTGATAGTGAGCTGAGAGCAGAATTTACACAAAAAAGTCAAACATATACAAACCAGTGAATATTTGTAATGATTCCTGATTGTTCCTGCCTGAGAAGCTGCTATGTGCTCTACCATGACATCACTCTCTACTCCCTCTGCTGCACTGGAAAGCACTAAATATTCCTGGTTCTCCCAGTAGGAAACTGCCAGATTCTTGAAAGCCATTCAGTGTGTTGACCATCCAGCAATCCTTGTTTGACCTCCAGATCTGTTCTGGATCTTTTCCTGCATTTTGGATACTTCTGTCATCTCTGGAGATTCCCCTCCTATCTTGCCTCAGGACCCAGTCTGTTTGTCTCTGCCCCTGTCTGGATTGTTCTGTCTATTGTGTATGACTCAAGCCTGGATCTCGGATTTATCTCCACCTCTGTCTCTCTGGACACCTCAGCTCAGTTAGTGTGACTCCTATTGGCAATTATCATGCCTTGATTCCGCATCCCCCTCTTGTTTTTAACCCCCTGCCCTCTGGTCTATGAACTCCCTCTAAATAACCCCCGGACTGACTATGATTCCCCTGCTAGCCTTTGCCCTTTCTAGCACTGTCAAGATTTAGAAACTGTGATCCACATCAGCCAAACAGAGTTAATGGGATCAATCATCAGAGCCAGCACAACTTCATGGCTTCTGAGAAGGTTAGTGGCTTTCATTTAGTTCACCTTTAATACCACAGAGTTGTCCTCAGCCACTAACCCTGTTCTCCTCCACATGATGGTTCCAGTTCCTTTCAGTTCTTGCATTACCAATTAACTTTAAGATTAATTCTTTAAACACTTAATATTTGTTTGAAATTAATTAAACTGTCTCCCGATTCTGTCCAGGCATTACAAGTAGTCACACCGGCTGTAATGCATAGTTGCATACACGGGACATAGGAAATGACCTACATAAAGGATGGGACAAGGAATTTGAGGATAACTGGAGTAGATTTTCTGCAATGTTGAGAAAAACATTTGCGCCATAACATGGTAATACTGCATGGGTTGTTTTAAATGCAATTTTTTTTTTCATTTAATGTTTTAATTCTGTTGTTTGTCTTTTGCATTGTTTTAATATAAATATGAAAAATCTTAATCTGAGCTCGATATCTTTGAAAACTAAATGGAAGATTATAATATCCAAAGTTAAGTTATTTCTATTCTCAAGTTTTTACTGCACTACTTTAAACATACATTTGTGTATACCAGGCTGGTTGGATTATGGTTTTCCAAGGATGAGCAATATGTGGGGTTTTAATTTTTTGTGAAAGTAAAAGTTGTAAAGTTGTGTATCAAATGTTTTTGTTGATGTTACTTAAACTTAATCGATGTTAATTAAATTGATGAACTTGATAACAAAAACATTTTTTTTTATCATATAAAACTTCAAAAAACAGACTCAGAGATAAATGTTCCATCTGATCTCTTGCCGACTAACTGGTCTCCAGTTTTCCCAGTTTAGGTTACCTAACAAGAAAGTCTCAGCTTTTTTTCCACAAATGCTTTATTTCCTGTTAACATTTCCTATTTTTCTGACCAGGACATGGTTCTGGTTAATCCTATTTGTCATGGCAATAAGTGCTGTTTTTGGAACAGTTAATTATTTAACTCTTTCAATAATCTAAACGACACAATTTGGCATGTTCTATTTTAGCTTATAGGAGAAACGCTCAAAATTTTTAGGTAATCTTCCTTCTTTTGCCTAAAAGACCAGACTTCTGACATGTTTTTCCCTGAGAAATGAAAGCCTATGCTGATTATTAAACAAAAGAAAAACTTTTTTTGTGTGTGTGTGTTTTATTCTTCACTTACCACTACGTCCTGGTCAACCCTGTGCCTGTTGGCCCGGACCTCCTCCAGCTGCCTCTGTGCCTCATCCAGGGCACGAGATTTGGCTTCCATTTCCTGTTTCAGCTCCTGTTTTTCCCGCTGCGTCTTCAGGATGTACTCCTCCTGCTCCTCCTGCAAGGCCATTAGGGCCTTCATTTTCTCCTCCTCCTCAGACAGTAACCTGAAAAGTAACACAAATATGAGATTGTTGAACCGCTAGTCTTCATTGTGCCCCATGGGATCAGAGAGTTTTAGCTGATAGAGCACAAGGACAGACAAACTGTTGGCAACTTCCTCTGCCAGCAGGCCAACTTCCTCAGGAACAAAACCCAACATGAACCGAAGTGTTTGAAATCTGCTGTCTGCACATTAAATGCCCCTTGAACCACAGTATTAATTTGCAGCTGAATATTCTTTGGGACTTCTACCTTGCTTGAGCATAACGGAAGCCCTCCTCGTCCAGTCTGGCTTTAATTTCCTGTTGCAGTGCCTCTTCCAAACGTTTCTGCATCTCCTCTAGTTCCAGGATCCTCTTCCTCTGCCTCTCTGCTTCCTCTTCCTTCAGAGCCATCTCTGCCTGCATACTGACCCTGGCCTGGAGAGGAACAGAAATGAATTTAAAGATGAACTAATTTCCACTTTTCTATGTTTATCCTCTGTTTCCACCTCTGCCCACCTCTTCTGCCTCTCGGAGCTGAATCTCCAGAGCACGCTGGAGCTGCTCATGCTGCTGCCGTCTCCTCTGCTCGTCCTGCTCCATCAGGACCTGAGCCTGCTTCTGCGCCTCCTTCAGGAGCTCCAGCTCCGCCAGCTTACGCTCCTTTTCCTCCTGCAAGGCCCGAAGCCTCTGCAGCTCCTCCTCTTTGGCCTGTCGTCGTTTCTCCCGCTGCTCACGCTGCTCACGTCTCTTATACTTCAGATCTTTATGCAGAGATGTTTTGCCCTCCACATGTAGCCTGATGGCTGTTTGAATGGCTGTGAAGAGGAAAAGGATGAAGTTTAAAGTCTTTGAATTTTGCCGTGTGCCTCTGAGAACATCCGCCTACTCTGACCTGCAGTCCACTCCTGCCTTTGTTTGGTGTCCGAGGCACTCATTTCATAGGTTTTTGACAAAGTTTTCAGACAAAACATACACCTCTTCCCATCTCGGTCCGGCAGCACCTGGTCAGACAGACACATTCAGATCAGTTACATGCAATATATTGTTATATACTGATAGATTTAGATAAATAAATAATAGTCAGCTAATTCAGTAATATGTACTCTCATTTTTGTCCCATATAGTGTATGCCCCCTTTAGCAAAAGGCCAAAACTGAGCTGCTGCTTTTATCTTTTTGAACTTTCTTTTTCTTTACCATATAAATTGCTCTTGGAGCAGTTTGTTTGTGTTTTTGTATAAATATATATTTTGCTCTTAAACCCCCAGTTGGACTTTTCAAATAGCTGCTAATATTGAACCAAGTCCTGCAGGTGGTTTGCTTCTGTGTAAAGGTAGTTGTTCCTTTCTACTAACCCCACATGCTCAGGATTAAGGATTGCTGCAAAATTAATGCAGTTAACTTAGATCAGTAACTTCTTTTACCACAATTTGAATGTGAATGCATTTCATTAGAACTAGAATCAAACAGGAATATACTACAACCTGAAAACGTGAACATGACTGGATTGTATGGAAGCAATCTGATCAAATATTTCTGGACATTTCACATTGGATTTGCTAATCTTAGGGAGTGTCTTGAGATTACATTTGTTTTGGACTTGCTGAATTGATTTAGTCAGTAACATGCATTCTCTCTCTCTCTTTCTAGATATGTATATATGTATAAATATAATATATAAAAAACTTTTCACCCTTTGTGTTTTTTAAAGCATTCTCCAAGACTGATTGAACACATTCATTGCCATATAGCCCTTAAAAGCAACCAGCCACAGAGCAAAAAGTGCTTCGCCATAGAAAAACAAAACAAAAAAAAGCAACATCAAGCAGAGGATCAGAAAGTAGAGTGAGTTCCTAAAAGGCAAAGTGTTTAGTAATATTTATATATCATTACATCATAAACGTTTGCATATGAGGAGCCATCCATGGCTCCAGCCAGATCAAAATATATCACAGTGTCCCAGATAAAAAAAACAGAGAGCTCACTGTTAAGAATGATCCACTCTGTCTGCTCCCCCATGTCATTCTCAAATCTCTATTATGTGCATAATTAACATGATAACTGTATATACGGATAGAGAAACTGTCCTAATTAGATAAACTACTTGGGAAAACATTAGTTCTGACACTCAGCAGGAAGGTAATATTAGGGATTAACAGACTCACACGTTTTAATAATAATATTCCTTACATAAAGGACTGAGTAGATAAAAGAGATATGATTTTTGCCTCAGTTAATAATTTGAATATGAAATTGGCTCAACTTAGCATTTATCAGAAGCATTGCTGAGAGCTTAAGACAGCTGGACTTTTTCTTGAAGACGTTTCACTTCTCTGATTTATTTCTCTGTTAGACCTAAAAAAAAAAACACCACTAAACAGAAGAAGTGGCCTCAGATTGATCTTTCTAACACTTACCGTGTGACCCTGATTTGTCCCCACATGTGGTTTTACAGCAATTGACACCTTGGCTGAATGACCCCTAACACCGTTATGGCTATGTTTGGATAGTCAAGCGACTTTCAGCCAAACACTTAGCAGACTGGACTCACAAATGGCCCATTTAGTTTGATTATTCTGACTGCAGTTTATAAACCGTTATTTTCAACTATGTTCAGAGTCAGAACTGAAGAAAGATTTTGGCAAAACCTCTTCAATAAAATAAAGCTACTGTTTCCCTTTGAACTTAGGGTGTGATGTTTCTACATTCAAATGCCTGAACTGAACTGTATTCGTAATGAGAGATTGATCTTTGGTTGGAAATGTCAGCAAAATTACTGAAAAGATGCTAATATGAATAAGGTTTATGCATTTAGCAGACACTTTTATCCAAAGCAACTTAAAAGTATGCATTAGCGTAAATGGTCTTGCCTAAGGATCCACACTGGCTGCTTATTCCCGCCAGCGGGGATTCAAACCCAGGAGTGAAATCGCACAAAGAAGTGGTATCGGACTCCTGTGTGAGATTTGTATGACCGACCACTTGAACTAGCCAGCCACTAAATTTAATTAAATTAATAGATGTAATGTGACCTAAGATATTAAATTGTGAAGCGTTTTTACATTACCTAATATTTCTTTACTGTTGGGAGAAACAGCAAAGAGGATTGTGGGATGTCGTCTGCCAGGTCTTGACTTGGTTGATGAGCCAAATGCATTGCAACAGAGCCCACCCACCTTGGCTAAGAGTTGTTTTTCCAACTTCAGGAAAACATTTCAGGGACTTAATGAACAAACAGGGTTTCTTCCCTAGAGCAGTGGGGGTAATCAACCCCCTGTAGCCAAAAAAAGTCTGTTTCCAGACCAACGTCTGTTTATCAGATGCTCTACTGTAGCATTAGCTGCATCTGATGCTACATCACAATGTAAACGTTTCATACCAAGGGAATGCTTGTCAGCTACTTTAGCGATCCACTTTTTTGTAACAGGCCTAATAATTTGTATGCATGTTTTAAATCTGCTTTTCTTTGTTTGTTTTTAATGTGCATTCTGAACTGATGGTCCTGTCAAAATGTCATTCTGGGTACATAGTGACAATAAAGATTTTTGACTATGGATCCCCTCCAGGCTGCAGAGAAGAGATATCGCTTGGCTGTTTCTTATCAACTAGTTTTGATCTCACAATTCAAAATATCAGTGTTAGTTTTTAAAGCAGGTTCTTGTGAAATGAAAAGATCCGAGTTGTCACGATGACTGAGCTGCACGCACTGAAGTATAACTGTCTTTTTTTAAATATAAAACATCCACTGAGAGACATGGCATTGTATCAAATATCAGAACTCAATTGTACTGCCTGAGTGCAAAAAAACAAAAAAGGTTTTTAGAATATCACCTGTACAGAAAGCTTTTGTCTACTTAGTTCTACTTTTGTTTCTGAGAAGCCTGCTGTGTCACGGTGATCTGCAGATATCAGTGCCCTCAGATAAAAATGCATAATGTAAAATGATAGTTACAGGTTAAACAAGGTTAACAAAACATAGATTAATCTTTTTTACAGTGAAGTCCTGGTTTATCACAGCAGGACGTTGTTCAAGATAATATCAACGGCACAGGGGGACAGTAATGATCCCAAAAGGATTTATTTCTTTTTTGGGAAGTCAATTGAAAGAAACTTTTAATCAAGTATTTCTTTTCTTTTCTGGGAACTGTCGATTTAATACAGTTTTACGACAGCTGTTTTCTTGTCTTTTATTTGCTGCAGAAGGATTAAAAAACAAGATAAAAGCTGTTAAATAGCGAGTAACAATTTTGTATGTCCTCTTCTGAAATTCAGAGAAGTCCCCACCTCTTTATTTTTGTTTTTTGACAAACAGGAAAAGAATATCATTTTCAGCATTGTGCATTGCTTACCTCCACACAGCAGTTCCCATCCAGGACTATATTGCCTTGGCAGTCTTTACGGTCTTCTCCTGTGTAGTAGGACAGATTGCTGGGTCTTAAAGTGAACCAGCGTTCCTTCCAGTTTCTCCTCAGCTGGCCTTTTTTCCATAAATAACCCTGCATGAATCAAAAAGGTTAATATACCATCATGATATAAAGCGGAATACAACGTGGGCAACGTTCTCTGTCCGCCTACCTCTTTGAGAACATCACCAACTATCTCTCTGTATACTTCCTCTATTGCCATGCTGATGATGCTCTTATCGATTCCTCTGGTTATTTTCCCAGAGTTCATCATCTCCAGGAAAACCCAGACAGTAATACCGCTCTGCTGCCCTGAGTCTTGAGAGAAGAAGTCATCGAGCTCAACACAGTTTAACTCAATGCTCATTGCCATGCATATCTTCTTAAGGAGGTACTCCACCTGACGGGAAAAAAGGGGAGAAATAAACTACCTGTATGAACTGTCTGTATTTGCACCAAAATACAAAACATTACTTTAAGTGGATTTCTGTTTAAATAAGCAACGATGATAAAGAGGAGGCTTTATAAAATATTTTGGATTAAAAGCTTCTTGCTAGATTTATTTTAAGCTTCAAATGAATCATTTTGAAAGAATTCCTTTTTGTACACCTTGGGTTAAAGAAAATACCCTGACTTTGACATTTTGGTTTTTCACTTGGCAGAGGCTTTGAAATTATGCACGACATGAAACCAAAAATGGTGTTTGTGAGAAACAAGGCCACACTGCAGGGTGAAAAAAAGCTGAGTTTCAGGCAATGCCATAGTGGGTTTTGGAAATACAAATTCATTCTGTGGGTTGGCTTTAGCATTTTTTTTTGCTTAGGGTGGAGCTAGAAAAAAAAGAAGGCAAAAAGACTAATGCATATTCTGGTTGAACTCACCTCATCTGGAACCATGACCAGCGGGTACTTGTCTTCAGAGAGAAAGTTAAAAAGGCACCAGAGTCTAAAAGCATCCCGGTCTGGCAGAATTGAGCTGCTGCTTCTGTCCGGCTGATAATTCTTTTTTGCCGTAAGAGTCCAGCAAAGCTCATCTACATTTTCCTTATTAAAAGATCCCTCAACGACCTAAGAGATACAGAGATGAGAATGTTAAAAAGCTATTGAAAACAACGGGACATAAAGCAATGCTGTTTGCTTTCACCTTATCCAGGATGTATTTGTTGAGGTAAGGCATGTAACCCTGACTAGAAACTGGGCCGTCATCGTCATCCCTAAAGTGCTCCTCCAGAGCCACTGGGTCATGAGGGATGCTCAGGACGGTGCAAAGGTTGTGAGAAAGAACCTGAAATTCAAAGAGAAAAAAGGAAATAATAAAACAAAACAGAAAAATGCAGAAGAACTTAATTTCTAAACATAAGTTACAATTTTTAAAGCAAGCACTGAAATAAAATAAAAAAACTGGGTTAAAAACACCCAAACAAAAGTAAAATATATTCATATTGTGGTCCTCATCTGCCCTCACATTTGGTTTGTGAAACAAGAAAAGAAAAGGAGTTCAGAAGATGTCACAAGCTTTCAAAGAAGTACATGGTAACTACTCCATGAAAAAATGTAAAATTCAAACTGGCTTTTTAAGGATTATTTGAGGAAAACAAAAAACATGTTTTTAATAGTTAGTGCTCAGGTAAATTATTAAAGTCGTTTTTTTTTTTTTTTTTCACATCAGCTGCATCTAATCCATAGAAATAAAAAGCTGAATAAGATAAAAATTTAGATTAACTGCAAAATATTGTACAAACTTTCTGAAATGGCTCATATAATCATGGGATACCATGATTGTTGCTCTAACTTCCAGATATGTTATAGCTTTGCCAGATAAAAAAAGAATGTTAATGCTATAATTTGTGTAATTGCTACATTATGAGTTTAGAATACTGTATAATAACCATCACTGCTGGTAATTTGTGGGGGGGTTTTTTGTAAGATAATGAGATGAGCTGTTTGCGCTGCTATTTTTAGCTCCGTCCAGATGAGATGAAACCTGTATTTGGAAATCATCAACTTGAAATGATTGCTGCACCTTTTAAACCCACATCATTTCTTTAAGAGAATTGACCGGGTTGCAAAAATGTAAAAAGAAGGTTTGGGATGAAGAATTTCCTATCTGTCTGTTTTGCACATATATCTTGTTGGAAAAACCATTAAAAGTCCTCAGAAAGCTACAGATCATTAAGAAAACAGTGCATGAAAAACATCCAAATTGGCTTCTATCTGCCTTCACAACATAAGTACCACAAAAAGTGCATTAATTGAGCATTAATTGAAGATTGAATAAAGTGAGTGGAGCAGCATTTAATTCATAAAAATGCTGGTCAAATGAGACACATTTCCAGCTCTTCTTATTCAAAGCATTAAACATTATGAAACAGCTCAGCTAATAAATATACACATCTCTGCATTTAGGTGCAATGTTTATTTGAATTTATATCCAGTCATGATGGGATGTAAGGAAAAATATATTTTCAGTTCATGCGAATCCATGCAAAAGTAGCTGAATTTTATATTTTTATATATTTAATTTGCTGTGGCTTTCAGATGATTTATAGCTTCACAAAGAAAGAAAATAACCAGTAATCCATTAAACTGTTTGAGTGGCACCGGCCTTTATAGTAAACATCAGTTTGACATATATCACAGCTGCGGAAACTTTTTTGCTTTAGAAAATGATTTTCTCATGTATCCTCGAGAAAGAAAAATAAACAAAAACAATCAGTTGTACAAAATATTTCTGATTATTTTCTTTTATTTGCTGCAACCCATCCCTTGATGTTGAGACTAACCATATCTTAAACTTTAGCTGTTTTATAGACTGTGACAGATTATAAATGAAAATTAAACTTTTTTTTATTTTTAATCCTATGATTAAAGAGGGAATAGCCACTAACATGCAGGAAGCAACCAACATACCAAAGTGATTGAACCCACAGCTTTGGTTAAAACACATTAAATCCATGGGGGGGTTATCTAGAAGGCTATAGTATGTTATCGAAGACAGGATACTTTGGAGCCTTTTATATAATTACTTTAATCATATTGGCCAATTTGAAATAAATCAGGTTTGTAATGATGTAGATGTGGTGTTTTTTTATTTCGGTCTGACCTGCAGATTGCATCTTTTTTTTTTTAAGGAGGGCAAATTAAAACAGGAAAATGTGCTGCTGGTTCTTTGACAGAGGAGGTTGTTTTATCCAGACATCCCTAACCTTTATCTAAAAACTTCCTACTGCATGTGAATAAATCAAAACACTACACACATTTAAAAAAAAAAAAAACATTTCATAGATATTCCAATGGTTTTTGTAACACTATGGACATCTGAGTACAAATTTTTCAGTAGTTGTATTTTTATGAAGAAACATTTTTTTTTTAAGATTTTCTACATCGATCATGAAATGCAGAATTCTGAAACTGGTTTCTGAGAGAAACTTCTTTTTCTTGGTATATTTCCAGTAAGAACAACAGGTGTTGACTTAAACTCTGATATATGAGAGCATCTGGGCCAAAAGGGCTTTTTTTGCTGTTGAATGAGCCTGGATTGATCCCAAATCTGGGGGTAAATAGAAAAGAAAATAATCAGTTACACAACTGAATAAAAGATAACTTGTGAAATGGAAGTTAAACACCATCTCACAACACCATCTCTAATAAATCAATATAGCTAGTCCATAATTTTTATAAATCCTCACATTTAAAAATATGGTGTCAGGAATTAAAATTTCAGTTGCGTCTTCTCAAGACAGATTATCCTAACTTCTCAAGACTGTGCAGAAAACCTATATGCTTTAGAAATAAAGAAAAGTAATCACAGATTTTGGCCAATAATTCCAAGATTCTTTATGTTATGAGGACATCAAAAGAAATATCATCCAATTTCTGCAGTCTTCTCTGAAGTAGAATTATGAATGAATCCATGCCATCAAAACATGTATTGCTTTTTCAAAGCCATTGGGCCAAAAACTGATTTTTTTGTCTTTCATGAGGTTAGAATAAAATACAAAAGAAACAACACAAAAATCTATTAATTTTTGTAACCAAATTTCTGCATTACTCTGAGATGTTCAATTAACCTCCCCTCAAATGTAACCATGTGCTACATAGTGTGTGCTTATTGGTTTCATTAGAGCCAGTAACCTACAGCTTCTCATGTCACACCACGTGTGGCATTTAATGCACGCAATTCTCTTAGGGGTGCACCTTTTTTCTAAGCAGCATTTCCTGTAGCAGTGTGCACACAAGGGAAGAACTAAATTTGACAACAAGGTCATGTATTTATTTCTTGTTCAATTTAATACCATTGGCTCAACACTTTCAGAAGCTTGCAGCCTGGGCCTGTATAGCCATAGGTGATGCAAAGTCAAATGAACAAAGGAGAATGACAGATAAGCAGAATTTACTCCAAAAATGAGGGATGAGAAATGATAAATTTATTGGAAGATAAAAACTAATTCTTCATGATGGGTTTACCACTATTATGTTTCTATTCAAGCATATATTTCCCTCTGCATTTCATTTCCGTCACAGAGGGAGTGCAACATCTTGAGACATCTGCAGCACGATATCAGCCACCTAGTTTCTGAGAGCTGAGCCATAACCACATCCTGTCTCCAGTCTCCAGCTCTCTACAACGTCTGTTAGCTTTTGAGGCCACAGCATGCAAAGTGCTCGCCTCCACAGAGCAAGGTGCCTCTACTTGAGCTGCATGATGCTGGGGGGGGTTGGGATAAGCCAAGTCATAAGGGCTGACTTGCTATAAGCCTTGAGCCTTTGACAAACAATTCAGAAACATGGAGGTGGATGGAAAACAGAGCTTTGGCCACACCAAGACCCAGTGACATAACAGTGAGATCAACAAAAAAAAAAAAGCAGCACAGTGGCTTTATTGAGGCCCCAGTGCGAGACGCAACAATCAGCAGCATGTTTCCACTTTGTCCTTGCTCTCATTTACAACAATGTTCTGCTTGACGTACATGCTGTGAACATACTCTATTCAACAGCCTGCTCTCCAGTGTCAGAGGTCCCTTTGCACTGCAAGACGGCACATGGAGGTCCAGTGGTGATGATGAGGGACCCCATTCATATGCAGACTGAGAGCAAACTGTTACTTTCGTGCTGCTTTCCACAGAGGTGCATATTGTGCCTTTTTTTACGCACTGTAAGCATTTCACTTGACCTATAAGGAACAAAATTGTTCCTCGTTGCTGCAGTTTTAAATAAGCCATTACACAGGAAATATGATGGAAATCAAACAGACTTAACCCTCATTTCCTGACTCAGATGAACTCTGAGTAAATATAGAATTATTTGTTAGATTTAGTTCTATACATAAAAACTTTTATCTGTTGCAAGTGGATTCTTGTAGGAAATGAAGCGACATCAGTAAGTCAGACAATCTTGGCATCAGATACAAAAGATCACTTGTCTTCCTTTCTTGAAGAGAGGTCTCTTCACTCACCTTCAGCTGAGACTTGGACACCTTCCCACTCTTCTCTAGATCCAGGGCAGTAAATCCATACCAAATGGACTTGAGAAGCTCAGAGCGCAGGTCCATTTCTGCAGAGCCGTTATTTTCTGATTTCCTCCTCTACGTGTCTGTCTTCTTCTTCCCTCTGCTGTTGACACGGGCCCCTGGGTGACAGGCAGAAAGGCACTTGGGTGCTGCAGCTGTGAGGCAAGCAGAGGGCCTTACAGACTGCTGGCAGTGACACCTGCTGGACGTCTACATGATGGAAAAGGGAGGGTGCTGACTTTCTCACTTATTGATAGACTTAAAAACTTACACCTAATAAAAATAGGTTCACAACACGGACATTAGGATCTGAAATAAAATATAAAAAATCTGAGCACTTAAAGGTAATGTAATACTTAGGAGGAGACATTTTAAAATTACGGTTGTTTGCTTTTATTACTACATTATTACACTTGTTATAGGTGTGTTTTAACAGAAACTACTTAAAAAGCTTAAATCTTTTAAATTACTATAAGGTTATAGTTGTTAAGCTGAAATTTGTTTATGTCTGTTATGATTTTTACAATCATGATTGTTTTGGTTGTGAGCAGGAGGACCAAGAGAAAACCCACATAGTTGGACCGAAAGATGCTCTAAGCAGAGAACAGCTACCATAGAAGGGAAGCAAGGAAGTGGAAGGAGAAAAACTAATTAACACAATGTGTGGTGAACTGAGACAAAATAACCATATACTATAAACACAGAAATTTAATATAGAAAAAATATCAACCATTAGGAAACAACAAAATAAATACATTAGACAAACTTTAGTCATTTTGTATACACATAGTGTTTACAAAACAAAATGTACTTTTATACACTTTTCTGACAGTGAATGAGCAGCAGCTTTCCATTCATAAAGTGCAGCAGTGATCAAAATGTAAACAGTGTGGTAGAAACATGGTGTAAAAAGACATTGATATGGAAGGTTCAGAGCAGTGCAAAAAAATAAATAGATATGGTGCAAAAATGCAGAGAAACACTGATGTAGGAGCCTGAATTTACACTTTGTGATTTTCTTGGTACGCATTATGGTTAATGTTTTGTGTTTTTCTTGCTAAATTAACCTTTCTTGAAATTATTGGTAATTCATACTAATTTGGGGAATTTGTATATTTAGCTATTATGGTTATTTTGTTATTATTATCATTACTTCTTTGGTTTAAGGATGCATACGTATCACTTTTTAAGGATGATGCATCATGGGAGTTTGGTTGTTGTGTATCTCACAGAGTGGAGCCAAATGGTTTTTTGACCTCTGTCGTCCTTATTTTTGTATGTATGTTTGGCACCCATTTATCCTATCTACTCACTAAAAGATTTTTAAATGCAATAACGTCTCCGTGGATTTTTTTGGACGAATCATCTGGATAACTTGTCTTTGGAAATGTTAAGGATGCAGCGAGTCAGGCCGGCTTCACTGATTTTAGAACCCTACAACTGAGTTTGAGTTCTAATTTGAAGATTCAACATCTAGGACAAGTATGATGTTTTCTGTGTGACGCAGAGTCTCGATTTGTGACTTGATTAGAGTTTTCAGCAGTTCAACAGTCTTATGGCCGTGGGGAAGACGCCTTTACAGAACTGCATCAAATGCTGTGACGCCTCTTCTCAGAGGGCAGCAGGGAGAACAGTCCACGCCACGGTGGGGGTGTTAGGCATCACTGATGATGTTGTGGGCTTGGGACACGCAGTGCTGGGAAGTCAATGCCTAGTGCTTAGGGCATTGTGCTGGGTTCAAGCATAGACTGCCACTCTGGGTTCCTGGGTCCCCATGCTCAGGTATAAATAGAATTCACTTATTTGCCTCTCAGCCAGTAATCCTGTCCTCCGCTGCCTAATGACTAAGCTAAGATAGCCCCTCATGGTCACTTGGCACTAACCGTATTTAAAAATTAGTGCTGCATATGTTATGTCATGAAATCAGGGTGAGTTACACTTTAAGTTTGATTGGGTTTTTGTGGGCTATATTTCAGTATGATATGTTTGTCACACAGTTTACAAGCTTCATTCCATGGCACTATACATAACATACCGTATATGCTTTTATTCTGTTCTGTCTTGTTTTTCCCTGCATTTATGCCCATCCACTTTCCCTATCTCCAGTGAAACAGATAGAACAGTAGCTCCACAGCATAATGCAGACACCACCGTGTGTGTGTGTGGGGTGTGTGTGTGTGTGTGTGTGTGTGTGTGTGTGTGTGTGTGTAGCGGGAAGTGTAATTTCTAAACTCTCCTGATACCTCATAGCCTTTTATTCCACATGTTTAGTTGCATTGTAGTAGACTTTGAACAAGCCTTTTCAACTTTCCACTTGCCACTCTTGCATTAATGCCAAATTTGTGGAAAGCCTGACTAAAACAGTTGTTCTCTTATCAGATTTTTTCCATCTGAACCTCTTGACTCCTTAGAATGATTTTTGCTTTTTTATTTGTCTTAAATGTATATAAGTTGTGATGGATGGTGAGGGCAGTCAGGCACAGGTTTGCGGCTAAAAAATAGGGCTCTTTCATTTAACACTGAAAGTGAAATATAACCTAGACAAGAATAACGGCAAATTAGACCAGAGAAGAAACACAAGGGGTAAAACATAAAAAAAAAAAAAAAAAAACATTACCCCCTATAGCATTGACATGGGATGATCCAAATCAGCTCAGCCCCTTGGCCACCTGCTGGTTCATCAGCCAAAGGACTGGAGCAACTACGTCAGTATAAACCAAAATGTGTGCGCTGATTTTAGAATACAGCGTAACTGTAATGAATGATTTCCAAATAATGAAGTGGTCTGTAAATTAAATTTATATCAAATGTATATCAATTTATATCAAAAAGTTTCAAGGAGCCATGGCCCAAAGCCCAAAGGAATCAGCCATTTTGAATCAAAGCCATTAGCATTTTTCCTTCATGTTTTATCTAAGTGAACTCCTCCAAGAGCTTTTGAGCTGCAAATTTCTTACTGACTGAGCCAAGACTTAAGGACTTAGATATAAAAAGTTGTCAAAAGATTTTTGCAGCAACAAAGTATGTGGGCATGGACAAACTTAAAATTTGGACTTCTCACCACAAGACAAAAACAAAATATCCCCAGGCCATGATTTTATTGAGGATTATGAAATTTGATGCACACGTATAACCCAACAGGATGCACAAAAAAGTCTCTTGAAGCCATGGTCCTAACCCCACAGGAAGTCGGCCATTTTGGGTCAAAGATGCCATTTTCTCTCATTGACTCAAGTTGTATCTTGCAAAGGTTCTACAACTTTATAGTTTCAGACTTCAAATTCAATTAAAATATAATTCAGGCATAGGAGATTGAAAGTTACCAAAATAATTTTTCTACATCAAAGCATGTTGGCATGGCCATGCATCAAAATCGGATCTTTTGCCATACATATCATGGTTTTGTTACATCAATAAGCGAGGACAAAGGAGTAAATTGGAAATCTAATGTTTCACTGTTGGAAGCCCTTGCTTTTGTCTGCATGCTCTATGGAATATGAATAATCTAGAACTCCTGCCAGGAACGTCAGATTTAAGCCACACTGGTGTATGCCTGGGGATGGTGGTGCACGGGTCCCACAGTCGCGACAGACCAAGCTGCCCCGAGCTGCAAGGGTCGCTCAACTTCGGATTTAATTAAAATATATTGTTTGTTATTAATTTAAGTTATTCACACTGGATGGAGAAGCCAAACATTTTACTCAAATAAGAGTAGCGATACATTTTTAAAGATTTATACTCAAGTAAAAGTAAAAAGCATTTTGCAGTAAAACTACTCCTAAAAGTAGATTTTTTTTTTATTACTCAAGAAAATTTTACTGAGTAGTGTTTTTGTCAACTAGTAATCTTAATGCCTTAAATGGTATTTATTTTATTAAATAAACATATCTATCTATCTATCTATCTATCTATCTATCTATCTATCTATCTATCTATCTATCTATCTATCTATCTATCTATCTATCTGGGGAGGACGCGGCAAATAACCCGTCAGGTGGTAAAACAACCTCTGCGTCGTTACCATGGAGCTGTTTGTGCAGATCCGATGCTTATTGGTTGCCTTTGTTTGGTCGGCCTAATTCTCCACACTCATTGGTCGATTTGGGTCAAGTTTCTAACCAATGGCGAAGCGCGCTTTTTAAAAACTGCTTTAAACCCAGGAAGTCTCCATACATTTTTTTTCAGTGAGAACAACGACCAAAGGAGCTTTAAATCGGCACAAAAAGGTCTGGTAAGCCAAACGAAATTGGAATACGGTAGCAAACCGCATTTTAATGATTTTTTCAATCGACTGGCAAGGATTTAATCTCTTCTAAAAATGTCTGCAATAAGAACAGTTAGCCACTCGGTCGATTGTAGCGTGTGCTTTAAACGTTAAGTCCTGTTATGTACATTAAAATAAACTTTGGGTTTAGACTTTTCCTTTGCGATCGCTTTGCTTAGCACCGTTTCTTAAACATTAGATCATAAGTACAAACGTATTTCGATTAATATCGTTACGTTTGTTTGGCATTATCTACTTTTTAAATGTCTTGAGTAAGAATTTCTATGGTACATTGCTTTAGCATGTCCTATTTCCTTCATTTGTTGTCTTGACATTCTCTTTCTTCCCCATTCAGCATCATGGACTCCTCTCCAATCCTTCGACAGCAAAGTCAAAGTAAAATCCTTAGTGATTTTCACAGGTAAGTGTGTCATAAATAGCACCTCCTCGCTGTGATCCAAATATTTATGGATGAGCAGGAATGATCCATATTAGATGACTCTTGTGAAACATACTCATTATGGTACATGTTGTTATCAGCATCATTCTCCTGTTATTTTTATGAATGACAGGATGATCCACACTAATAAATACAGGCTGATGAGAGATCATGGTAGAAAACCTGTTGGAGACTTAGAAAAAACAAATACTAAAGTGGAGATTTCCTTTTGAAATACTTCTGTCCAGACCTGTTGAGCTTTATATATTCTACAAAGAAGGCTTTGCAATATATAGCCTTAAAAATGTGGACTGATAAATGCCACAAAATACTTGTAGCTTTATTGCAGCAAATTATTAATTTACAATGTATTGACTAAAGGTACCTTTAGAATATGAACTTGAAAAACTGAATTGTGTAAAATTGTGGTTTCAACTAACAAAAGTGATTGCACCCCACAGAATGACGAATGAAGACAACATAGAAAAAGCAGAGCCAAAGCTTTCCAAAGTTATGTCTTCACTCCACCTTTCCAGCAAACATGGTGAGAACAAAAATCCTGCAGAATCTATACGAAAGCCACTTTTACAGCAAGTTGGGAGCCGGCTCCCCGTTCTGGCAAAGTCCCTTAAACTCCAGGTCCCCTCTGAGTTCAAGCAGTCCTACAACAAGTGGGAAGAGAAGCCGTTAGCTGTAAGTTTTACCTTGTGGATACAGTCAGTTTTTTTAATTGTTTTTGTTTGTGTACTAAAATTTTATTAATATTTTTCCCTCTTACAGGGTAAAACAAAAAAGCCATGTACCCGGCCTGTACCATTTAACCTCTCACAGCCTAAAAACACAAGAAAGGCACTTGGTAACTGTGAACCTTTGATGGCCTTTCAGTCAAGGGCTCGTACTAAAGAGCGTGAACACAGTGTATACAAAAAGCCCAATAATCATCCAGGTCTCGTTAAGAATGGCTCAGACTCGGCCAGAGGTTCTGGGAAACCCCATGCAAAGGCGACAAGTAATCCAGCTCACCTTTCAGGGAAGCTCAGACCCACATCCCAGACTTCAGCCCCTTCGAATAATCCCCTGTTCACTTCACGTAAAATGGGAAACAAGAATGCAAGCATCTCCTCTGCCCGAGCTGGTCTTCATCCAGAGATTGGCTCAAATCCACTTGGTGGCAAAGAGACTGCATCACTGACAAAACAGGACACTAATTCCAAACCTTTAAATGGTGAGTTTCAATCTTTGTCCAGCCTACTGATATTTTCTTTTCTTAAGTGTTGTATCTAAGTTGATTTAAAGAGAATGATCTTTTTGTGTGTAAAATGGAGGTTCCATCCATGGTCTTTTAGGACCCCTGTAAGGTGTCCTCTCACAGTCACACATTTAATTGACTCGTTTAACGACCAAAAGCCTTCTGCAGTACTTTATGGCTGCTGAAGAGGCCATGTAATCAGTTTAAACAGGTGTGCTGAAACGGAGGTGCATCTCAATATGTAGGACTGTGGTACGTAAGGACCAGTGTGCAAATCAAATTGTAGATGACTGGATTTCCTGCTTTAAATAACATGTAGGGTTTTATTCTCCTGCCACTGCAATCAATAACGTAGGGCACAATTCTGGATTTGTGGTCTTTTTTTTTTTTTTTTTTTTTTTTTTTTTTTTTTTTTTTTTTTTTTTTTTTTTTGTATCGTTTGAATGGCTTATTTTATTTTGTATTTAATATGTTGTGTTAAATTACTGCTTTTATTTCAGAAGAAAGTGAGAACTTCCAGCAAGATCATGCGGCTTTGCTGAGCATCCTCCGGAACGAGGGCATAGGCCACGTTAGTCAACCAGTCGTAACTTCGCAAAACTCCAAAAAATGCAATGATCGAGTGAGTGGGCTTTGATGTATTTTTTATGTATTTCAGTTTTCAGATTGCAGAAATGTTTAATAACACTGAATATCTTTGTCTGCAGCCTCAGCGAGTGTCCGTTATGAAGAGTCATCGAAAAGTCGGGGCCACAGCAGGTCTGCACTAAAGAACACAGCAATATTCAGACTTATAACCAATGAAATGTTTGTACTAACGGAGTGTCTTCTTATTGTCCAGCTTGCACGGAAACTAGTTTGAAGTTTAAAAGATAATTTTCTTGTGTGTGTAAATTATGGCTGAATGATGTTTGTCAAAAATCAAAATTAGGATTATTTTCAACCCATATTGCGATTTTTGTTTTGTTTTTCCTTCGCACTAACCACAAGCTTGTAGATTTTATACTGCAGGTTTTAGTTTTTTCATGACATTGAAAGCTTGCTTGTCCAAAGCCCACAGTTGCAGAATGTTACTGTAATCTTTGTTGTGTTTAATTCTACTTACATGCATAGATCTGGGTGCTAGCTGGAAATTTGTCTTTCCTTTTTTTTTAATTGCGGCAGCAAACCCGCATAAAACATTTCCACCATCTAAAGCACTTGAGTGAGAAAAATGTCTCTTATGGTTGTTATTTGTAATGGGCCTCTGTGGTTTGAAAATTGCATTTTTGTTAAATTGCGATTAGATTGCAAATATAATCGATTTCCCAGCCCTAGTCTAAATTAATCAGATAAGTTGTACTCTATAACGAGTATTTAAAAAATGTTATTTTGGCTATAATACAAGCCTAAAAAGGGAAATTTCTCTCTTTCTCTGTAAAGCTGTTTGTTGCCAGCACTGATATCTCTCTCTTCATCAAATTGTAGAGGACTGGATTCCCTGCTTTATGTAACATGTAGGGTTTTATTCTCTCGCCACTGCAATGAATAAAGGAGAGCAAAATTCTAGATTCAGGTCTTTTTTTGTATCCTTTGAGTGACTTCTTTTATTGTTTTGTTACCATTTAATATGTTGTTGTGTTAAATTACTGCTTTTATTTCAGTAGAAAGTGAGAACTTCCGGCAAGATCAGGCGGCTTTGCTGAGCATCCTCCGGAACGAAGGCATAGGCCACGTTAGTCAATCAGTCGTTACTCCGCAAAACTCAAAAAAATGCAGCAATCGGGTGAGTTGGTTATTATATATTTTTTTTGCTTTTTATGAATATGTGCTTTACGAGATTTATGTTTTTAGACCACAGAAATGTCAACTAACCCAAATTTTAATGAATTTCCTTGTCTGCAGCCTCAGCGAGTGTCCGTTATGAAGAGTCATCGAAAAGTCGAGGCCACAGCAGGTATGCACTAAAGAACACAGCAATATTCAGACTCATAACCAATGAAATGTTTGTACTAATGGAGCGTCTTGTTGTCCAGTTTGCACGTGTAAATTAGGGCTGAATGATTTTTGTCAAAGATCCAAATTGGGATTATTTTCAACCCATGTTGCGATTTTGTTTTT